GCAGCTGTAACAGCAACTTACATTTGATATTGGTTCAGGGAAAGTACTTACCTTATTCTAGTGTAAAACCAATGACAGCAAACAATGAAATACAACACAAGTTAGAAAATGCCTTTCAATGCATGCAGCACTGTGATTAGTCATAAAACCCTGATGAGGTTTAGAGGCAATATAGGACTTTTCGTCTCTTTTGAAAATAAAAATTGAACAAATTATTTCCTGATATTTCAGATCAATGTTTACATTTTTATTTTCTATAAAATTCAGCATGCACTTTTTAGAAACATAATAAAAATGTCATAAAAGCACAGACTGCATCGTATTAAATTTGGCATAAATGTTGTGAATATTCACATAATTACCTAATGTTTGAACTATTTCTGTTCTTGATTCTAAATGTTGATACTTGAATTTAAGTGCATTTTTCCAATCATCACTTTTTACTAAATCATCAAGCAGATGAAAACGCTTTTCCACATGAGCACTCTTTGTTAGAGCTACAATATTTAATTTGTATTTTAATGATGCAAAATAAGGATAAACATTCTTTGCACCAAATGCAACATAAGTTCTGAGTATATCATTTGTGCCAAAAACGTGAGAATATCCTGACAATGAAGAGCATGGAGTGATGGCTATGGAGGGTTTCGTTCTGTTAGTCAACAGTTCACCATAAAACAATAGATGGGGATAATATTTCTAGCAATCCTTGAACAACTCAAATTCCCTTGGATCACATCACGTGTTTTGGGGTGCAAAGAAAGCAACGTCAGACCCATAGAGTTCAGCTTATCATTGCCCTTCAGTTCTCATTACCTTGGGCCAGAATTGAGTTTATAAGAGGTCAATAGTGGCCTGCCCTAGACACAAAGAAATGGCAGTTCCAAATGCACATGCAAAAGAGTGCGTGGTGTCTGTGCAGCAGACAGGCTGAGAGCTGTGCTTCGAGAAAAAACAATGTGCAAATGAAATGCTGGGTTGGACACGGGCTCTTCTTAGGGCAGAAGTACAGGGGAACTGAAAAGCATTCCTCCTTAAGTCTGGGGTAAAATACTTTTTCATCCTAAGAAGAGCCACATGGAACATGTGAGACTTGTGCCTAAAGCTTTCTTTACGAATGGAGAGGAAAATGCTGCACTAATGAGGAATTATTGGCACTAGCTTTAAAAGGAACTGGACAGCTTGATAACTAATATCCGCAAGATAGACATCACCTGTTGTTAAAATCAGCTGGCGAGTGGTTAGCTGGCAAGACCAATTTAATGTGTAACATTCAAAGCAGGTATTGTATTTCACCTCTTCCAAAGAGGTGCTCAATTTGAGCACCATTTGCAGCTGCATCACAGCCTTAATGATACTGGGTCTTAATGAGTGATTCAACTAATCCATCCAGTGGAATGATCCTAAGTAACACACAAAGCACTCGCCTTTGGCCTTTCTAATCACCACCAGGTATTTTGCATGCACGTATAATCTACAGGTCATTTTTTTCCTCCAGCAAACTACCTTGGGATCAAAAAGGAAACAGAGAAATTGCATCCTAAAAATGTGTTTGCTGGTAAGAGGATGCTGGCCCTTGACTCAGAAATCAATGAGTGTGCACAGAGTGTCATGACCCTGGCTGCGCATCGGCTGTCAGCAGTATCTGCGCCACGACCGGGCAGCTGGGCCTGTGACAGGATTAATTTAAAACCTTTCCGTTTCTGAGAAGAGTTTAGCCATGAAAGCAGGTATTCACAGGTCTGCCCTGGGGTGAGTACTGTAAGGAGGAGCAGGGACATCCCCCATGTTGGATGGGAAATCAAATCACGGAAGTCCTTGGTTGTGCTACGTCCCTGCAGACCAGCTCTCCCTGCAGGCAAGTGCTTTCCCTGCTTGCCCTCCTGCTCCAGCCCGTAGTCTGCTCAAGGAGAGCACGGCTCACTCGCCCATGGGCTGAGGGAAAGCTGGCTCAGCACCTAGGTGTGCACCTGGGGCTGCAGGCAGCCAAGCCAACACCTAGGGTGTTAGGGAAAGTCAGCTCTCAGCTCACACGGTAGTGGGGGAAACACAGGATGTGTGGAAAGCTGGGAATTTCTGCACGTCCCAAACCACACCTCATGGCATAGGCTGCCTTCTTGCTGCAGCGCCTCACAGGCTAGAGGCTTGCCTGCTGTGGCTACGTGGCTACACAGATCACAAACATGAAGATCCAGGACTTAAACCAGCGCCAGTGAGGATAATTTTGATGGTGCCCAGAGAGGTGCATGGAGTCTTGTTCAGGTGGGCGATGGAGTGCAGGGTTATAAGAGGACTGAGCTCAGACCATTAGACACGGACCAGCAACAGGTCCTGTAGCCAGGGATGTTCCTAGCTTTCTGAGGGAAGGTCAGAGTGCCAGCAAGAATTACTTCCGGTTTGGAGGCACATATGTTTTCTAAGGCATCCCAGCTTTGGGATGAATAAGCCAGGAAGAAGCCTACGGACTCTCCAGTGACTCCCTGTAGAATTAATGGGAAGAGGTAATGACCACACCCTGGTGAATGGTTTTAGTTCAGGCTGTGCCTCTCTGCAGCCATGCCAGAGAGCCATGGGGTGGCTGTCGCCCAGAGAGATCTCCTCTGGCAATCCCAGTGGAGGGGTAGAGGCACCCGAGGGACACTGCCTCCTCACCTGAGACGAGGTAGCTTGCTCTCCCCGGGGGCAGGCAGGGTTTCTGTGCCCTTCATTGGAAAAATGAAGGAATACTAAGAATTAAAGCTAAGCCCTACCTCTAGTGTTCATGGTATGAATCCCGATAGCCCTGGTATGTGCAGGATCATCCAGGGTTGGTGCTAACAGACACTGATCCAGGCTCCCCTCTGTATGTCTGGAAGCTCTCCGCAGAGGTGACTGAGTGGAGGAACTGAATTGCCGGGGGGCAAAGGGACCAGTGTGAGGTGGCAGAGTGAAACAGCAGAGCTAGAGGAGAACCCAGGTGGGAGTATCTATTGGCAAGGAACAGTGTGCTTCCCTTCCAAAGGCTTTACTGAACCCTTCGTGGGTTACTTGCAAATAAAATGTTAAGAGGCCTACAGACTGTTTTGATGAATTAAGAAGCAGACAGAACTGAAGCAAACCAGATGGGTCAAAGCCACCTGTCAGGTCTGAGCACATGCTGGCATATAAACCAGATGCACCACAGCATGTAATTCTGCCTTTCCTGAGAGCAGCACATCTCAGTGTTGTAGCAGGGCTAGAACTCCACACCTGGCCTTTGGGAAATACACTGCCATGGCACTCCATTTCACAGTATTTGGTAAAGGAGAAAACTGACTGGTTTGGTCTTTCTTCCTCTGTGGTTTGTATCAGATGTTACTTAAACAGGATGAAAAAACTCTGTCTTTAGCCTGGGCCAATATTCAGAAGAGTTTAAAGCTCTGTATCAGGGGGGAAAAAAAAAAAAAAAAGAGAAGGGAAAAGGCACTGTCTGCCCATCTGGTTTCTCCGCTAGGCAAGGTGTGACAACTTGCTTTACCATTTCTATTGCTGTCTCCATTCTAGTATAACGTATCTCATATGCCTGGCTTGTCACCACTCAACCTGTGTGTCTAGTCTAAAACAAGGTAGATCTCATTGTCAAGGAAGTTCTCCTGAATTCAGCCTAAGAATCACTTTTAAAAGATCTGTCCTATTCCTACTTATACTCCCTAATTCGGTGCTCAAATGGATGGATAGTGTTATGCTCTTTTTTTTCCACGATTTTTTTTTTTTTTTTAACCACATGGTGGAAAGACATAGGAATATTTCAGAACAACCAGTACCCTTTTCCATGGTTTCCTAAACACTGTGAGCCTCCTGCAGGTTCATACTCTTTCATGTCTTTCCTGATGCCAAATTGTACAGCCATTGATTAACTAAGCCAGGGATCATATCCATCCCCCTGTTCCTTCAAGCTTTAAGCTTAATGTTATGGAAGCAGAGCCCAGCAAGGTGTGTAAAAGCAGCAGAGCGCGTACAGTTACTCAGTGTTGGGACCAATTTGTTCGGGGCTGATATGAGTGCCATGCAAGCTGGTGCTTCTCGGTGGAAAGAACAGGGCTAACTAGCAGTCAGATAATTCACTTTGCTATCATTACAAAACATTACTTGCAGCGTCTCTGCTAATTCAGAAACCTCATAGTTATAATTACACAGTCTGGAGGTTATCCAAGCCTAATTTCTTCATTGCTGGTTTTTAAATTGTTCAATAAAAGGAACGTTTGAACCTATCTATGGAGCAGGCATGCCTCTCTCTGCCAACCAGTGTCAGCGATGAGTTCCCGCCCGTGAAGCCACTAGCATTTCACCTCTACCGGAACTAAATTGTTAAGAGAAAAAGCAGGTCATCTCTTCATGACGTAACACAGGAAAAACGGGTTAGCTGCCAGCGAAACCCAGCTCAAGAATGGGAGAATCAGGAGGGTGCAGACACTTTACTTGGTAAAATCTTGACAAGGGGATGAATATAGAGCTCGGACCATAGGAACCTGATATAGTGAACCCTGTTTCTGAACAGTATCCTTCTTACTAAAAAAAGGAAATGAATAAGGCATTAGTTGCTAAAGCAAATTTTTCAGAGGCACAACAACATTACTTTGTGCAAAGAGCAATACAGCAGAGACTTTTGTATCTTCCAAAGGATATGAATCAGCCTTACATGGCAGCAGTGTTGAACAAAAATTTCCTTTCTTATATCCCAGCACTATATATTTGGTAGTCATTGCTGCATTACAGGAACTCACCAACACTCGGTGGTGATAAAGCCCCGCTTTCCCTCCTGCGTTTTTCCACGATGCACAACACATACCCCTGCTGTGCCACTTACTTCGTGACCGTCTTAACTGCTGACGGCTGCAGTCAGGGCAGAGCATTAACAAAGACTGGTACTCAAAGGTTTCCCTGGGCCACAACTGTTCTTACTGAGCTTAACACTCGTGCCATGCTGGAGGAATTTCAGTGCTTTCTGAGATGGGGTGGGATGAGGTGAAGCTGATACTCACAGGACGACTTCTACGTGGTCCAAAGCCCACTGATCATGACCTGTTCCATTGTGACGGGGCTGCCACCAGCGCAGTAAGACTCCTTTCATTCGTGCCTCCCTGTTGTCACAAAAGAAAGAGCCTGTGAGAGCTCCAGACTATGGGTGTTTTGCACACCTCTACCTACCCCCCAACAGGAACCGAGAGCAAATTCAAAGCGCGATTTCTATATCCCTGAACATTAAGACACTGCATATGCAAAACATTTAATGGTGAAAATGCACACAGGTAAGAAGGATAACCCCCCCATTTTTCAACCAAGTATTCTGTTTTTCTTTCAAATTTGATAAACATTAGGCTGGAATTTCTTAATCAGCCTTCCCCTCCAGTTTTCTTCTTTGTTTACGCTCTCACCAACCTTTTTCCTTTCACAGTGATGCAAAGGTAGATTCTTTCTTAGCAGAAATATATCTTGTGCACTTACAGGTAATGAAATGTGACTGGGTACTCACAGGGGAACGTTATAAGACACTCTTTGGGCTTGTATAAAGTCCTTTGGCTGATGCTGTGCAATTACTTGCCATGTAATTCCATTATTTACACTGTATTGGAGGAGCACTGCCTTGTCTACAGTGTTAGGATCACTCAGATTGGTATTGCAACTGTCCGTTTGTGAAATACTTCCAATTTGCAAAACAAACATGATTTTGCTGTAAAACACAGGGAGAAAAGGTATATTCAATATTCAAAAAGTATTCAAGCAGGAACAATAGCATTTCCAGGTTTATTGCAGTTACTTTATTAAAACTTCGAGCATCCTCAAGTTTCATTACTTTTAAGATGCAAAATAAACTGTTTTCACATCTCTAAAACACAGCTGCCCTTTCAAAATAATAGCTGGCTGTGTATAACATATTGCCATATAGTTGGAGGCAATAGATACAATTTTACAAGGTATCTGCACAAAACTGAGATACATAAAAAGGATAAACATGCAAATGAGTGTATGAAAAGCTAAAAAAGGGCAAATAAAGGTTGCATATAATAAAGTGCCTACCGGTTTTCTCATAGTCTACCTGAGTGTTCAAATAAGAAGGAAGAGTTTGATTTATATCTGGCCCATTTGCCGATTCATCCTCTTTCTAATCTTGCTCTAGACAACTGAGCTCTAGTCAATCGGTCCAGAAAGCTGTCACTCTGTTAAGAGCCAGCACAGGATGGTTGCCTTAGTTTTTCCATGGCCAAAGAGCCTCAAGAGATGAAAAAGATACTCCTGTTCATTGCCAGGTGAATATAATTCTATTTGACGGCTGAAGCGGGAAAATGAGTCTCTAATTACTAATGGTGTCTTTAGGCATAACCATCGTGGAGGCACATACAAACACGGGGTTTGTGTAATCAGATCAGGCACTGGTCCAGGCAGCCTGGTGTCCAGTTGTTGCCAACCGCTTCATTGTCAGTGCTGGCTTGCTAGACAGTGCTCTGTTGGGCATGACGAAAACATCTGACCTTTTCATCCGACATCGCTTCCTCCTCACTCTCCATCTCCCAAGTGGAAGTTGCAAAGCATTTTGGCAACCCTAATGTTTATCTGCCAGCCACATCTGACTGCACGGTAGAGCCAGGGCAGCCTGTCCTCATCAGCACTGGCCCACATGGCTGCACGTACATAGGAAGAGTTTACTTTCTCATGAGATGCTAAAAGAGCATTTTAGGCTCAAAGTATTACCTTGCCCGGGTGAGATCCAGAGGCTTTGTCACAGCTTGTCGTATTTGACATCCATTAAAATAGAGCGAATCTCCATGGGCGTAGGGTGCCAGCTGTCCGCATCCATTCCCTATCACTCCCCCCTGAATGGTTTCCCAGTTTATTTCAGTGACTCTTTCAGATTCAAAATTATCTTTAATATAACTGGGGAGGTCATGGCTAAAACCAGAGCAGTCATCACCTAGGAATGACACACTGAAGTTATAAAACACACAAAAATCAAAAGGCTTGAGCAAATTGAGTTACAGTTCATTGTAATTCCATTCAAGGTTGTGGCCCAATATGCAGTGTGACTACAGGCTGAATATATTTCAGCAGATCCATTAATAATGTGTACATTGCCATACAGCATCTGTTTTTAGAAAACTGAGGCTGAGGGTCTTATTTTTTCATCAGTATAACTTCAAGTTTCTCCTATTTTGCATTGATGACAATATGAGAAACCTCAAATTGCAAGATGAAGGGAAATGCATCTAAAACAGGGAAGGGAGCCGATCTTGTAAAGTTATGGGACTTTCTCCTGGGAAGACATTAAACACTCTCTCCACTCCCACAAAGCACTTAGCATGTAATGAGGGCACTCAGGTATCATTAGGCATGTGTTTGGCTGCATTGAGGGATTAGAGCAGAACACTCAGTCCTGATGGGGCACAGAACCGAGCCCCTTACAGGTGCCAGTCACCAACATCTGGATGCCCACATACACTTCCCCTGGGAGTGGGTGCACCCCTGAAAGGAGTACAGGGGTGAAAGCCATTTCTGGGTAAGCAGGTAGCCATGCTCTGCCTTCAACGAGGACTGAATGGGCTTTACATACAATGCCAGACGGGAGAGACTACCGACTCAATCCAGAACGAGTAAAGGGAGGGTAGAGCTGTTATTTGCAGCTGTCAAATTATTGATTTAGAATTTCTTACTCAGACATTCCAGTGATGAATTTAGACATGATACAGCACTCTGTCTTTTTGTTTAATTCTGAGCTAGATTAGACTGTAGCAGATGGATAATAAAGAAATTGAAGAAAAGAAACCTTGATATCCTTCGTCACAAATGCAAATGGCTCCAGTGGTGCAATATCCGTGGCCACTGCAGAGCTTAGGGCACGCTTCCCCAATGTACACGTGGTCAATTGCCCAGCTTTGTTTCTCTAGTTCTTCTCCTTTCTGAATCCACCTGAACTGCGTTGCACTGCAAATATCAAAATCCAAACACTGTTATTACGATGTCCAGCATTAAACACATCTGCCGTTCAAACACACCAGCAGCAGATGTAATGAAAAATGTCGTATGAAGGGGCTGTGACTTCAGTAACTGGAATGGCCCACCCTGAATGGGTGGCTGCTACCTCATTGGCAATAGCCACTTCTCTTAACAAAAAGCTTCCTGAAAAAACATGAATTATGTATCAGATCTAAATCCAGCAATAAAGAAGCATTTTTAATTCACCAGTTGTTCCAAGTAAACAGTGCCAGCGAGACAGATGACATTTTATAGGTCCTCAGTGAGCTGACCTTTCAGTAACCTACCTGGATGAGACATGATCAGGCAGCTGGATAGTTACTCTTCTCCACATGGAGCTGTTGACAGAGTTATAGATGGTAGCTTCGTGGAATTGAAATGGGGAGCAGCCAATGCTATTAGATGAGGAAGGAAGACAGTGTGTCTGGACCAGCTGCCATGAGTCTGTCCTGGAGGAAACAAAAAAAATTGTTTTAGAACAACTGAAGGAATACTGAAAGGGAAACAGGTAATTTCTAAGGGTCATGGCACTGCCTATCTCAGTAAAAAAACCCAAGAGACTGTCAGCCATAGTTTCCATGCTGTATAGCTGCCAATAGACAGGAGGTGAGGCTGAAGGGAAGACTTTACAGCACCAGGTCTGATTACTGTGAAACCCTTGGAGGTGGTATAACCCAGAGCTGTTCTGGGCTGGCATGACAGAAGGATTTATTTAGGAGTCTGTTCCTTAGTCTCTCTCTTGCGGTGTTCCGAAGAGTCCCAAAAGCATTTGCTCCATGCTCACATGCAGTCATTTGAGCACAGAATATACCTTTGTACTTACAAATGATAATGCACGCGCTAGTATACTACAGCACAGGAGACAGTGTTATTAATTGTTTGCTAGTTAAAAACCAGTTTGGAATTACTAACTCCCACTTCATTACAGCTTGGCCCTAAACATATAGTCTTGTATATACTAAAACAACAGTTTCCTGTGAATGTGGTTTTCTGTAAGCACATTTTTAACAGAAGCATGCTCATAAGCGTAACTGCAAGCTCAATGCCATGAATCTGTCAACGTCTGGGATAAATTATAAAGAGAATTTACAGGAGTTATGTAGACAAATCCCAGTACTTGCACACAGGCTTTGTTCAGATCCTGTTGCAAGAGGAATAGCAAAATAATTGCTTTAATAAATAAAAAGCTTTCTAGGTTTTTGCATCATACTATTTTTTTTTTAGGTCTGTGTATTCTGCTGTCATTTACCTGGCATCCTTCGTATACTCCAGCATCACAGAGTGGAGATCACCACAAGAAGTTGCTTCACAGCCAACCACAATCTATAGCACAAATAAAATTGGCTGCTGTAACAAGTCAGGTAGACATTTAATGTGATATATAGTGAAGTCTTGTTCTCCTCTTTTTTTTTTCTTTACAGTGTGAATAAAAGAGATTGCCAACTTAGATCGTGAACAAAATCCATCAAAAGTGTATGGAAAACAAAAGATGCAGTACTTCAGATACTGTTTTTACTTAATGAATTTTACTTCATTGCTGTTATTTTCAAACAGAATCTTAACACTACATTCCTAAAGTTCAAATTAAATATCTAAACAAACATTGTTTCTGAAACACAAAGATGTGTTAGCTCCTTGGACTTTCAGAAAGTGAAGTGGAGCCCTCAATAGGATATAGACTGGTTGCAGTGAGTCCAGAGGAGGCCACAAAGATGCTCAGAGGGCTGGAGCACCTCTGCTATGGGGACAGGCTGAGAGAATTGGGCTTGTTCAGCCTGGAGAAGAGAAGGATCCAGGGAGACGTTATTGCACCTTCCAGTACCTGAAGGGGCCTACAAGAAAGCTGAGGGGGACTTTTTACAAGGGTCTGTAGTAACAGGACAAGGGGTAACGGGTTTAAATTGAAAGTGGGGAAGTTTAGATTAGATATCAGGAGGAAGTTCTTCACGGAGAGGCTGGTGAGGCACTGGAACAGGTTGCCCAGAGATGTTGTGGATGCCCCATCCCTGGATGTCTTCAAGGCCAGGTTGGTTGAGGATTTGAGCAACCTGGTCTAGTGCAAGGTGTCCCTGCCCATGGCAGGGGGGTTGGAACTGGATGGTCTTTAAGGTCCCTTCCAACCCAAACCATTCTATGATTCTATGAGTACCTAACTATATACTAATTACTTATGAAATTTATAATTCATAATGTAGAACATGTGGATATAAACTTCAAGTCAATCCAATTTTAGAATAGAATTATGCTGAATATTTAAAACAGTAAACGTATTTGTGTCATATTAGAGTGGAAAGATTACAGTACTCATAGTACTGAATAGATAACAAAAAGCTAAATTTTAAGAGCTTCAGTACCAAATGGCAGACATGCACTAGAGCTGAGTTTGTAGTTTAGAAATAAAATCTCTGCTGTGACTGGTGAATAAAAAGAAGGAGAGAGTCAAGAGACAGCAGCTCTGCAATGAGAATTCAGTAATATGAACTATTAAATGCTGATGGGTTATCATAATTTTGGCCTTAAAACAGAGGAATAAGATGATAGGCTCGGTAAAATAAGCAGCTTGGGGGTGTCTTGGCTTTTAGGGGTAAAGACCATACTGGACTCCTCTTTTATATCATTTTATTGAAGGTGGCATGCTGTGTGAGTGGGGGAAGCAGTGTTTTAGGGATTATGTTAGTCAATATAAAATAGTCAGTGATGCTGAGAAAAGATGAAAATAATGATTAGTGGAAGATGGAAAATTCTGGAATTCATGTCAAACGAAAGAGCAAGAAAAAAGCAACATCAGAAGATGGATGAGTATTTTGATAGCCCTGCTTTCATATTCATTCCTGGCTTATTTGAGACATAGTGCCTGGGGAAGGGCCTAGACAATTTCTGGACAACAGCTACATATGGCCTTTGGCCCTGGGCAGAATTCTACCTTAAAAAAAAGTAAAAGATTCAGAAATGTTTCTCTGATTATTTAGGTTATTTGCCATGACACAAGTAAGTAGAAAGGGTACTTCTACTTGAGAACTTTGCATTTTCCATACGCCACTTTTCTCCAGCTTGTCTCTACTTTGCCTTTTCTGCTTATTCACGAGTTAGGGGGAAATGGCATATTCTGCACGCTGTGTATTCTCACATTAGAAACTAATTCCTATTGTATCTGATGATCCAGTAATTTCAGGAAAAACGCACTAGATTTCCAATCCCTTTCAGTAACCCCTAAAGCATAGAGACAGTCAGAATGATTTGACATTTAACGTTCATGCAACCTTTCTGATTCCCATTACCTACACTTCAGAATTTCCTTTAAATTCTAGTAAAAACTAACTATGAATTATTCATCAAATTGGGCATCCTAGTTGGAAGAATTATTATTTCTGGAGACACATTAGATGATTTTTCCTTGCATACTTTACTTTGGAGAGAGAGAGAGAGAACATTTCTTACTTTAAACTGCATCATGTATCCTGGCTGTATAATGAGCTCCCTGGAGGACAGGATGTTGTGTGTTTTGTCCTTTTTCTTATTTGGCCAGTAGAGATGGAATGATGGATTTCCACAAAACCCTGCAGTCCTGACTGCATTAGGGTAAAAACTCCAATTTTCTTCATGAGAGGTGCCTTCTGTTAAGAAGCGTTAAATACAATTACTGCATTGTCTCGGTAAACACTGAGGCTTAATAATGAATCCACAGAATCACTAGATAGAGTACTTTAGTGATATAAACACTAAATCTATGCTATCTGTCATGCCGCACAGCAAGCTACTAACAGACATAATAAAAACATCAGCTCCAGAGAGGTAATTAAAGTGTTTGAATAATAGTACTTTTAAAAAAATGCGATTAAATAAAACTTTATTACCAGGAATTTAAATTAAATAAGTTGGACAGAAATAAAAACTTTTGCCTTTCTTATGGGTATATACATATATACACACACACATGCATATATACATGCATATCTATATTTACACACCCCTACTAGTGGCATGAAGAATACTATATAAACAGCATTAGTCTACAAAATGAGAAACTGGCAAAGTTAACAAAGAGAAAAAGTGTGCTTGCCAGCTCACAGGGCTTATCTTAGATAAGATAATGCCAGACAACAGATTAGCTCTCACAGCCTGTCTTACCATCATCAAACGTATCTACCAGCTGGCTGGGGTTGATCTCGGCTCCTCCGATGAGGATGTTATCCAGCGCCCACTGTGCCCGGTCGGGGCCTGAAACCACGATCCCGTTGCTGATGGTAAAAGGCTGCCACCAGCGCAAGCGGGTTGTGTTGGTCAGAGCGTGTTCGGGGAGGAGGATGTAGTCATGCCTGACTGAGATGTATTTTTGGTAATCCATCTCGTGAAGCAAAGTCCAGGATATGCCTAGAATGAAAAGATGCAGGTTTAGTAATAAAAACAAGCGTATGGTAGAACCTTCTAAAAGATTAAAGGAAGATAACAGAAAATAAATAATAATAGCTTTGTTCTTCTGATAGATAAACCTTAATTCCTAAGGGCAGTTGGCAACTGTTAGTCATTGCAAGAGTAATCTTGTAATCACATAAAAGAATCAAATTGGCTGGAAGCCATTGATTACTGAACTCAGGCAGGAGTATTACAGAAGAGTCCTGAGCAACAGATGGAAATTTTCGATGGGGAAAATACAAGGACAAAAATGACTTTACAATTAAAAATTATCTGATTAAATTTGATCTCTCTGATAAATTCTCAGATATTCATGATGCTTGGATACAGAACAAGGTTCTAGCTTATCTGAAATTACAGGATATACTTGCCTCCATCAATGGAATAGTCTAGCAGCACTCCCTCCTTTCTGCAAGTTGGTCTGTGGCATGTTGTCATGTTGTTTTCACTTCCAATTCTCCCCCAGTACTGTAGAAACCTATAAGTAAATGTCTAAGTTTACATCTGTTAAAAGATCTGTACAAATGGAGAAGTTTGCTTTCTGTTAGCAGACATGCTGGAAACATTAAAAATGACAGCATTTTAAAGCAATTAACATTGAGGTAGAGGTAAAAGTTACCTAAACCTTTGCCTAGTAATTTGTATGGGAACCTCATGAAATTCAGCAAAGTCCTGCCCCTGGGAGGGACTAACCCCTTGCAATGGTACCAGCTGGGACTGACTGGCTGGGAGCTGCTTTGCTAACAGTTCCCTGGGAGTCCTGGTGGAAAGGGAGCTCAATGTGAGTTAACAAGGTGCCTTTCTGTCAATGAAGGACATAAAAGAAGTTGACAAACTGAGGCAAGGTCAGTGAAGGCCCCTAAAACGGTTGCAGCTGGAGCACATGCCCTGTGAGCAGAGACCGAGGGACCAAGGCTGGCTCAGCCTGGAGACTGGGACTGGGAGACAGTAGCCATACATCAAAAAAAGGGAGGTTCCAACTGGATATAACAAGTCAAAAAAAAATCACCGTGAGTGTAACTCGGCACTGGAACAAGCTGTCCAGAGAGACTGTGGAATCTCTGTCCTTGGAGGTTTTTCCAAGACCCAACAGCACAAAGCTCTGAGCAACCTGGTCCGAATTCAGCGCTGACCTGGCTGTGAGCATGGGGTTTGACTAGAGACTCCCCGAGGCCCCTTCCTTCCTGAAAGGTTGTGTGGTTCAGCGAGTTCTTGCTGAATTACAGAAGTGAGAGTGTGTGGCTTCATTAAAGCCATACAGTCAAGGGAAATGATGCTAATGGTGTCTTCTACATCACGTCCTTAACTTGTCTAAACTGATATAATCCCATTGCTCTCCAGCTGTCATCCTTTTCTACAGCATGTGAGTGGGTCTGGTACAGGCACCCAAGTGAGGACAACCAGGAGAGGTTATGTTCTGAAATCAGTGGGAGACACAGCTGGTGCCTCCAGGAGGAGAGACAGTGATGCCCAGGAGACTGTGGTGTCTGGACTCTTCGCGGGACAGGCACTGCTGACTCCAGGACATTCCTGGGGAAGGGGACCTGCTGTTCACCTGGACAAAGCAGTCCCCTTTCCACTGAGCCAGGGTGAGCCTTGCTCTCTGTGACTCATCTGAAAGCACCAGTGCCTTGAGAATCATAAGCCCATTAGTATCTATCCAAAATAGTGCTATGGCCTAACAATTCCCTGAGCTACGAGCTGTAACCTGCTGCTTTGTCAGCGCTTAACGGAGTTCCCCACTAAAATGACATGGAAACATGACCTACTTTGCCCCCCGCAGGTCCAGGTCTTGAGTGACAGCCTGCCTCACAGTCGGACCTCCAAAATAGAGAGTTGTGTCTTCTGCGAGAATCCCACACTCGGTGCAGGTATTTCCACCTTCTAACGACATCCATAAATCTGGTTTGACTTCTTCGTTGTCAAAGCGCTCTTTCAGGTAAGTCTGGAAGTAAGGTGTTAACATAAAGCACAGGTAATTATTATCTTAAGCCGTTCTGATGACCATAGCTGGAACTGACCTAAACATGTTTGAAGGAGTCATGAACACTGCAAAAATTTTTTTCAGGGTGACTGAACTTAATCACTTTTGGCTGAACATTTAGCCACTTGAGCTGAATTAGCTAAATGTGAAAATATGTTAGGGCAGATTTTAACATACTTGGGAGGTAATCCAGTACACTAGAATGTTCATGTGCAAACCAATATGTGTATTGGGTTTGTGTGGCAAGGTTTTGGTAGCAGGGGAGCTACATAGGTGGCTGCTGTGAGAAGCTGCTGGATACTGCCCCCATGTCTGACAGGCCCGATGCCAGCCAGCTCCAAGAGCTGGTGGCCAAGGCCGAGCCCATCAGCCATTGTGGTAGTGCCTCTGGGATAATGTTTTTAAGAAGGGGGAAAAAAACCCCTGTGCAATTGCAGCTGGAGAGAGGAGTGAGAATACGTGAGAGCAACAACCCTGCAGACACCCAGGTCAGTGGAGAGGAGGGGGAGGAGGTGCTCCAGGCCCCGGAGCAGAGATTCCCCAGCAGCCCGTGGTGCAGCCCATGGTGAGGCCGGCTGTGCCCTGCAGCCAGGGAGGGTCATGGGGGAGCAAAGACCCCCCTGCAGCCTGGGGAGGACCCCACGCCAGAGCAGGGGGATGCCCGAAGGAGGCTGTGACCCCGTGGTCCACCCACCACAAAAAACCTCATTATTTGTTATGAGTTCACATCGTACATCGAGTGTAATGTCACAGTTCCACACAGCAGAATGACCTTCCCCTAACTTCATTTTTCATGAAGTTTATGTGAAATATGTACAATTTACACCTGTGTGGCAGCAGATAATGGTGACCTGATATATTTCTGAATGACAGAATTATGATTAGAAATATTAATCTGACCACAACCCCCATTCCCTGTCCCCCTGTGACGCTCAGGGGGAGGAGGCAGTGAAATCAGGAGCAAAGCTGAGCCCAGGAAGAAGGGAGGAATGGGGGAAAGTGTTTTTAAGATTTGGTTTTATTTCTCACTCTCCTACTCTGATTTGATTGGTAATAAATTAAATTAAATTTTCCCTAAGTCATGTCTGTTTTGCCCATGACAGTAATTGCTGGGTGATCTCCCTGTCCTTATCTCAATCCATGAGCTTTCCACTACATTTCCTCCCCCCTGCCCAGCTGAGGAGGGCAGTGACAGAGCAACTTTGGTTGGGCACCTGGCCTCCAGCCAGGGTCAACACACCACAATGGGTCTAATTCAAAACTGGATATTTAAGACCACTCCAGTACATATCTTGTATGTATAGGAGAAATTGCTGTTCTATACTTCTTTCCCCAGCAAAACCAGTATTGCAATGAAATGTTAAGTTTATTGTAGTGAATATGTATTTATGTAATTGCCTGCACAAATATTTGCAGTGAAAACCATCTAGAACGTATCTCTGCTTTCCACTTACCTCCAGGTGTGCAGCAAAAACAATGCCATGAGTGAAATCCTGGCCTTAAAGAGACAGGAGTAAAGCTCCCCTAAAATTCCTAGGATTTTATCCCAGATCTCCTTAATGTGAAGAATACATTACTAATTAAAATTGAAAACAGATAATGATATTTGTTCATGTAATTAGTATTTCATATGAAAACCAGATGGTTGTAGTAATTCAAATGACATGATAACTAAGAGGTTAATAGTTCTCTTTAGACAGGCATTCTCTTCACACAGAATGCTGCTTAACCTGTTGTTTCTGTGGAGCACATACTTATTCTGTTCTTATCTGATGCAGAAAAAAAAGAGATGGTAAACTGCATTTTAAACTAAAAACTAATTACATATGCTTTTCTAAATATGTTGTTTTAAAAATGTTTTCACTTTTAGATTCACAATATCTAACTAGATTTCACTCGCTTGTTATACAGTAACACTAAGAACAGTTAGGTGAGTCAATTTTACGTAATTTTATGTCATTTTCTTGTATTCCCTACTTCAGTAAGCTTTTTCTCATGGCAAAGACCATCTTTCTTCAGGTCTTGATCAAATACAATCATATGTGCAAGGATGACTTAGATCATACAATGGTGGTCTAAGGATGAACAGTGAACTTCATCACAGCTTTTTCAGGTAGTTATTTGCAAAGGAACAAACCCGTTCTTGGATACTGCAGTAATAGTTTTGTTAAAAAATGATGAAAGGGATGAAAATGGGTTTGAGTATCTTCAGGTTGACAGGAATCAAAGCTAACTTTCCAGTGGGATTGATCTCTCCTCCCTCTTTCTCAGCCAAACACATGGCAAAATTCACTCTTTAAAACATGCAATAAAATTACCTTCAGTGTTTGGGTGAGATAGCAGTTTGGACCCGAATACCCAGGATCACAGATGCATTGTTCATTCAGGCAGTCTCCATGACCTCTACAGTTTTCCAGACAACCAGGCCCCAGATAGAAATTATCGATGGCCCACTGCATATCTGAGTACTTCTGGTAGAACCGGAACCTGACAGGACTAGATGTAAAGGAATGAAGAAAAACAGACATATGTATAAAACAACTATGCTCAATTGAAAACAGGTGGGTGAAACACAATATACTGCTGTCTGTACTATCCCCCAAGCTGTGGCCAGCAGGTCGAGGGAGGTGATTCTCCCCCTCTACTCTGCTCTTGTGAGACCCCACTTGGAGTACTGCGTCCAGCTGTGGAGCCCTCAGCATCAGAAGGATATCGACGAGAGGAGGCCACGAAGATGCTCAGAGGGCTGGAGCACCTCTGCTATGGGGACAGGCTGAGAGAGTTGGGCTTGTTCAGCCTGGAGAAGAGAAGGCTCCGGGGAGACCTTATTGCAGCCTTCCAGTACCTGAAGGGGCTACAAGGAAGCTGGGGGGGACTTTGTACAAGGGCCTGTAGTGACAGGACAAGGGGTAACGGGTTTAAATTGAAAGTGGGGAGGTTTAGATTAGATATCAGGAAGAAGTTCTTTATGGAGAGGGGGGTGAGGCACTGGAACAGGTTGCCCAGAGAAGCTGTGGATGCCCCATCCCTGGAAGTGTTCAAGGCCAGGCTGGATGAGGCTTTGAGCAACCTGGTCTAGTGGAAGGTGTCCCTGCCCATGGCAGGGGGGTTGGAACGAGATGATCTTTAAGGTCCCTTCCAACCCAAACCAGTCTGTGACTCTATGATTCTAAGCTTCCACAAGTAGTATCTGGTAGCATCTGTTGAAATTGATTAAATACATATCCATATCTTCTTCTTCACACGTGTACTATCTACAATATATGGATGGATTCCAGACAATGCTGAAGCTGGAAAAAGCTTTTCTGGCTTCTTGCAAGAGAATTTTAATTTTGTTTATACTTCTTGAGCAGATTACTCAAAGAATATAAGAGACTTCAGCTTTGCAGAAAAAGACAAATGGTTTGCATATGTGCAGACTACTGCAGACAATAAGGGCAAGTTCTCCACTCAGTAAGGTCATAAATCTGCTCTCTAATTGATGGCAGCTGTCGGAAGAGAGCAGAACATGCTCTGCCAGCGCAAACTGCAGAGAAGCAAGGATAACTTTGCTGGTTGTTCAGACCAAGAGTCATGGTCAATCTTGATTGACAGGAAATAAAATTATGCAGCATACATAATGAATGTGAACACTGCTAGTCTGCGCTTTCCTTGAAAGATAATAAATGGGCAGATGATCCCGTTGTGTTTTTCAGAAGGTACTGAATCCAAGACAAAGTGAGTAGCGAATTCATACTTACTTGCCCACAAGGTTTTCAGGCAGTGCGTAAGTTACTCTTTTCCATCCTTTTGTGGGAAAGAAGACAGAGGGCTGTGAAACACTCCCAGAACATTTTGGATCAGCTGGTAAGCACTGAGGTACTAAGTAACTCCAGCTAACACCAAAGTCAGTGGAATACTGCACATGGACCTGATTTTGTGCAAGTTTTTCTGAGGTTTTACATCCAACAGAAACCTAATAAAGACGAGAACATAAGCAAATTAGAATTACTTGTGGTGGCTGTTGGAATTTAAAAAAAATGTTTGAACCTGAAAACTGAATGGAGAATTTTGCTTGAAACGACGGCAGTAATGGTGCTTGTATGGTACCAGTCATCTGCAGATCTCATCAACATTTCCAAGACTGAGAACAGGCACCATATTCTGAGATTCATTTTCTTCTAGTAAGCTCACCTTTCTGCATTTCTAGGTCTTGACACTTGTGCCATATACCCCAGTACTCCATAACTAATAAAGTTAATCTCCCCTCCCATACAACCTAAGATTTTAGGATTTCAGGGGAGGCCACCCAGTTTGGTTATGTTAGGCAGACTGTCTTTATGGGACAGAAGTGCAAACGGCTCTTACAACTTCCATATATTGCTGGGTTATTTCTTTAATTTAGGTAAAGGGGTGTATGAAGGGCAGCTTGGGTGCAGGTTTGATGTGAATGCATGACAACGTAGGAGCGGTGTGGACTACTTTGGAGCTGCTTTTCCCTCACCAAGCAGCTGTAATGAAACTGGCATCTTGTATATGTGTAATATCCTTATTACATGATGTCCATACAAATGCTGTGCTGGAAGACAAGAGTGTGTCACCCCTGATAATAGCCTGCGGTATTAAAGCTGACCAGCACAGAGTAGGTGAGAAAAATGAGAGTGGCCTTAATAATAACACTTCTCCCCGCAGGGAATGGCTCAAGCGTAGGCCTATACATCATCCTACCTCCTGAAAAATCTACTTAGACCTGGAGCAAAATGTGGGTTTGGATAATTATACTGCAGACAGAGATTTTACCTTGAACTGCATAATCCAGCCTTCTGTAGGAGTCAGGTCGTGGGTGACTGCGTAGACCTCTCTGCCGTCATGGCTCCCGCAGATCATGACACCATCAGGAGAATCACAAAACCTCTCAATCGAGCAATCGTCATGGAATAACCAGTGTTCGTTCACTTGAAAACAAATGTCATTAATATACAATGACAGTAATATACAATGACAATATAAATAAAGAAAACAGGGAATAGTGTTAACCACTAAAGATGATTCATGGCTTTGTTTTTCAGGCTATGTGAGAATTATTTAGTATTGCTTCTGAGAATGTCAGTACCTCATCTTTCCCATGTAAATATTTATTACCTTTATCACATTTATTGCTCAAAGCACTTCTTACTACACTCTTACATAAGCACTATAGCATTGTTTTTTAATGTTCAAGAAGTAAGGATCTGAGACCTACTCAAAACATAAACTTCTGTTGCACTGGACATTATGGGATAACTTTTTAATGGGTGTTGCCTGCATGTCTGCACAAAGGGCACCCCAGCACCGTTAGCTGTTAAGCCTTGTAAACATCCAGAAATACATCCTCTACAAAATTCAGTTGTAAAATATAACTTCATTTCCCTAAATAATGTTTTAAAAAGTTAGGAAATAGGAAACAGATACTCAGGTTAAGAAATCTGCTTAGAATAACCTGGCACTTTTTAATCCTTTTCTGCTTTCTTTGGAGAGAAATTAATCTTTTACGTAAATTCATGCAGTAAAAAAAGAAAAGTTACATTACATCATTTCACATTTTGTGGACTAAAACTAAAAGACAAGACCCCTATAGCAAGGAGACTGTCTGTGATATCCGCCACAGTGAGACAAAGATTCAGAGGCTCAGCAAGACGTGGAAATCGCTACACTGACTTCTTTTTATTTCAGATCCACGTGAAACCTTTACCCGTAGTTTTGTCTTCCATGACCATGTCGAAGGCGATCCTCCCGGTGGGCCCTGCGTCGGCAGGGGAGCGCTCGTGCTGCGGCAGGGGAGCGCTGCTGAAGGTGTCAAGCATCACCGTCCTCTGGTCAGCTGAGCCGGAGATCAACACGTTGTCGATAGCCCAGTCGTTCTGGTCCAGGCCATCGTGTTTAGGCTGCCACCAGCGGAAACGTGTCCCAATGCTTTTGGCATCGTAGGGAAGGAGGATGTTCACAAAGCTGTAATAAAAAGTGGAAATTAGTTGTAGAAAAGCTACAGGAGGAGAACACTTCCCAATGCTCTGTGCCAGGTGCTTTGACCAGGCCTACTCCCGTTGTTTCCTAGGGTATGTGGAAGTTGGGAAAGAAGGAAAAGGCCAGGTGATCTAGCCTATGTTTCCTTATGGGAGATTGCTGAAACAAAAACCTTCCTGATCACTCCCAGTGTCATCCCTGAGACAGAGGCTCAGACTGAGGTGGAAAGGGCCTGCAGTCAAACTGTGGCATGGTTTGAGCAACCCCAGGTGCTCCAACTATGCTCATGGGACCAATGCAATGGTCTACACTAGCAGGGTCTGACCACAAGGTCCTAATTAAGGGAAGTGTTAAGAAGGAGAATGTTGAAGCAAAATTAAGATTACTATGGAGCCATTCAGCAGATAGCAATATTCCAGTACAATCTTCTTATTTCCATTACAACAGTAAATGACAGTATACTTAAATCTCTTGTCCAATTAAAGCACTAGTGATATCTTGATGTGTTCAAATGAAATAACAAATAATGAGCCCCTCCCAGCCCCATTTTCCATGAGTCCCTTGAATTACTCAGTGAAGACAAGGTCCACCCATACCTATGCATGACTTAAATCTCACAAATATCTGAAAATAGTGTATCCATCCTTTTGATGGATTTCTGCAGAAAATCAGTTTCTCCTCTACACACCATTTTCTAGCTAGTTCAAGCAATGACTTTCTGCTCTTGTCAGTGAGAAACTAGATTGCAAATGGAAGTATCTTAAAGAAGAAGATAGACATAATTACAGTAGCTATTAATTTATCTTCCTTACAAATCTACCAGACTGCTACAGACTCCTTACTACCCTTGTATTTCTGACTTAGCAGCTGCGCAAACGATGATGTTCAAGCACGTGCGTGGACATTCATAAATGCTTGCAGGACTGGGCGGGCTGAACTCTTAAAGACCTGGCATCCAAACCACAGCAGTAAGACATCCCACAGGTTCTTAAAAAACATTCAAGACCACCTTACTTTAGTACAGGAAATTATATAGGCAGAAGAAGGTATCTACAAACCCGGGCTTGCTGAATTGATCATAGAATATTTCCATTAAGAGGCTCCAGCTGATTCCACCATTCACAGAATACTCCAGCAGCACTCCTTGGTTGCGGTTATTAGGAGTTATCAGGCACCCATACATGAAATAAAACTGGATGAATTCTGCACTGGTGAGGTTCAAGTCCACTGTAACTAACATACGGCTGCAGCTCTGAAAAGCGATGAAAAAATATGTTAGCTGGCAAAACTTACGAACATAAAAAGTATTAGGCTATGCAGTCACTATTAATGTAACTTCATGCTGTGAAACCTTCAAATTGTACAAAATTACGCTAATTATAACAAAGGTAAAGCTACACAGTCCAATAAATGTTCTTCCCTGAGGACATAATTTCAGTTACGTTCCATCTTAAAAATTCCTCTTGTGTATTTATACATGTTGCTACTTGTACCTGCAGCTTTGCAACAGTCAGTATCAAGAACTGTATTCACCTTTCCTCTGAATACAAGAGTTACAAAAATCCATGCCTACAGTGTAAAACACAAGGTTTTTCCAGGCAGAATTAATGAATCACTGATTACATGCTAATGGCTCAGTTTATGCCACCATCAAATGGCACGGCAATTTTAAAATGTGTGTTTTCCCATAATCCCTTATATATTTCACATATTAGCTAGTGGTGCCCACCTAGTCCCACTAGAAGGACTTGTGTTAGTTTAATTTAGAAAGCTTGTGTCACTTTGAACCTAGTTATAAATTTGTATGGAGGAGATCTACACGCATAAGCCTTACATGTTTCAAAAATACTATTTTGTAATCTTCATAATCTTGAGGTTATTTGTAAGCAAACTAATTCAGCAGCAGTCTGGGTTATACACCTACGTATGAGCTAAACCAGGTAATTTTACTGTGAGCTTACTCTGACAGAAATCTGAAGGATGAAGCTACACAGGGATGTGTTTTCAAGGACCAAGTGCAACTTATACACATGCAAATACCTAGTTATTAATTTACTTTCGTGGTCTGATTAGAAGCTGCACCAAACTCCGGTCTCTGGAGGCTCTAAGGTGGCTGTTACGAGTGAGTGGAACTGAATGTCTACACACTTGGACTGTGCTTTAATCTATCAGCTCCACCTCCAAATGCCCCTCCATGGCTCCTTTTAGGAGGCACACACACTGTATCTCATTTTCCTGGCTGCAGCATAGGCTGGAGCATGGTATCTGCTTTCCTGGAGTGTTTCTAGCTGGCCCTGGTCTGTAGGACGTGTCTGACTTTGACCTTCAGCTAGGCAAAGCATATAAGGGTTTTTTTATATGGAATATGTTTAATACGTTATGCTGATATTTTTTTAACACCTTGCTACTGTTTAACTTTGTAAATCAGTCCCATTTGTACTGTCAAATGGAGTGATCTGAACACCCACCCCGCTGAAGTGAAGGGCCATGCCAGAGGCCACCGCCCCGCAGACGGTGCTCAGTTTGCCCCCGTTCACCGTCAGCCAGTTCTGGTTTGATGGCGAGCGATTGAAGTTATCTTTCAGTTGTGTTGGCAGCGGGGTCTCTGGCTCGTCACAGTACAGCCCACCCCAGTGCTCATCGCAGCTGCAGAGGAAAACAAACACACAGTTCAACTGGCAAAGGCTCAGCACGGAGGTGCAATCGGTGCCATGTTATTCCCCATTAAGGTGCCATCTCATTCCGCGTCGAGGCTGTCTGCATCGTTCGCCAGCGCACAACTGGTGCATGGGGGTTTCAAACATCTGTCACTTTTGGAGTTAGTATGAAACAAAAATGACTTTAGGAAGGCTAGTATTATGTATCATTCAAGCTGCTAATACAGACTACACTCCAGCACACAGAAAATGAGCACAATCCATTGTATTTGGATAGATAAACATAAGAGAATGTGCGAAGCCTGAGAATGTCCTGTTAATGTTAAATTTTAAGTAAGTTTCTGTAAAATGTCAGTCAATGGGTACTTTCCTGTTGTTTCTTTATATAGTCACCCTTTTTTATTTCTAATCTGAAAAGCCTTCTTAGAACATGTCAAAAGTTGGATAACAGCATGGAAACGTGCTCTGCTACTATGCAGATTTCACCAGGGAGATTGTGCCTTGGTACTTCAGTGCTGTCAGGATAGAGGACAACACAATAATATGTCTGTTCTGCAGCAGAATGTATTTCTAACAAACATAGCCACAGCACAACTATACAACCATTCTCCCATTTCTGTTGCCATTTGTGGCTGGAAAAAACCAATACATCCATCTGGAAGATATTTCTCTGTTGCCAGACAGACGAATCAGGGGAGATCTGGTTGTTTGTTAGCCTTGCAGGGCTCTATGTGGGCTGTTATACAGTTTGAGGATCAAGCCAGTCTGCCTCCGCCGGCAAACCCTACCATGGAGCATGAAGTCAACACCAGCCCTGAGGTGGATATCCTTCTGCTTAGAGAATGTGTCCCCCCTCCAGCCCAGGTCCTCTGCACCCAGCACCAGGATGAGGGCACAGGAACACAGCATGAAACCCCTTGGGAATGAACGATGACATCTTTTGGGAAGCTCCAGGACTGTATGTGCCTAGAGGGGTGTGCAAACTCAGGGTCCTTTCTGCCGACCTGGTGGGAGGGGAGCCAAGCTGCAGCATAGGCAACAGCAGAGGCCACTGAGGAAAGGGCCAGCAGCATCGTGCACGCTGTGTGAACAGGCAGAGGTCTGGCAGAGGCAGCCCCCACACCCACCCTTCCATTCCCACGTGGTGCCAGTGCCCTGCTCAGTTTTAACAGCAAAATCCACCTTCCTTTTAAAAACTGTATCAAAGTCTTTCACACGGGTTTGTTAAAGTGCCAGAGGAGGAGTGAAAGGCTATGGCACTGGGCAGGACAGGGAACCAACTGCACTTACACACAGTTGTCTTGTGTGCACTTCCCATGGCCGCTGCACATGTCTATGCAGCCGTCCCCAATGTAGACGTTATCGATTGCCCACGTTTGCTGCTTATCAAAAGGAGCAGGCTGGTGCCAACGGAAACGAGTTGCTTGGGACCTTGGGAGAGAAAGAAAAGCAGAATGGTAATATTTCTAACTAAGGTAATCTTTATTTTGACTGAAAGAAAATGTCAGTCTTGAGGCTAGACTGCTCCTGGAAGATTTATTTGCTGTCAGCACAACCCGGGTCTGATTCCTGACAAAGACAAGGTCCCTGAAAAGCCCAGAACAGGGTGCCCACAGTCTGAGAGCAGGACAAAGCATGGGTGCTCGGTAGCACGCAGAGTGCGGGAGGTGGGAAAGCAACTGCTGGTGAAAGCAAAGCAGGTATCTGTGGCTGGTGCAGTGGAGCAGAGGTGGTATGCCCAAAGGGAAGCTCCTAGGCAAGATGCTGCTGTTTATGAATCTAGAGGGGACAGGTGAGAGTGCCCATGCAGGGCTTGCAGTGTGAGCCTGGTTTTGCTGTTTCCTGCCTCCCCTCCAGCCAGGGTTTGGCCAGAAACGTTAAGAAATGATCTATGCTGTGATCCTGGCTCCTTTCAGTAAATAATTTTCATTTTATTGATTCAAGGGGGTTTAGTTCCCAATTCTAAACCTTGCTTTGGTGTAGCTTTATGTGACTCAAGTGCCTCAGCTCCTAAGGTAGATGATGAAAACCTAGCTGAAACACTCAGGGAACACTCCAAATAGCTATTCACCTCACACAACTGTAGACATGTATATTTGTATAGCTGCAAACAACTGAACTTCTGTAACTTTTCAAGAATATAATTTTATATTTAAGCTAGTCCACGTTTTGCTGTACAGCACTAGGTGGCAGCATTGAACTTTGTGTAGTCTGTGTTCTTTTGAAACTCAAAGAGAAATCACAATTATTGTAAACCCCAAAACAAATAAACAGCAAAATCCTCAAAATTTATTCAGTGTAAAAATAGACCTTTTATAGTAAAGTCAGTGTTAGGCTACGAATTATTCCTTTATAAACATTTTACATGAAGTGAATGAATAACAAGTTTATCCCAAGAGAAATCTATTGCCACGCTGTGTAGCTGCTCACCAAATAGCATTTTTAAAAGAAATGTGTAAATTGCGAGGAAGTCCTTTAGGAATAAAGACAAGCACCTACACCTTACACTCCCTGCTTAAGGTTTGGTGCTTCACTGACCATTTATGGAGCTGATGCTCCTCGGAGAGGCTTTGTGTTTGCTTTGCATTTTAAAATCAGCTCCAAGTCTAAGACATAACTAAGCATTCATTGCCTTCTGCAGGCCAGAGGTTAGACAGCACTCTGGGGTGACCGAGCACTGAAGCGCTATGTAAGTATGGGTGCTGTGCACCAGGCCAAGCTGCTGACTACGCAGCCTGCATGTCCCTAAAATACACAGGCACAAACAACTGGAGACACACACCTGCTATTACACAGCTTGAAATAATAAAGCAGCATAAAAATGATATCACATCTAGTCTAAAGGGCCTATTAGCTGCACTTACTCTGGAGCTTAACTTCTCCCTTGCTTGTGAGCTAAGGTTGCAATAACCTCTCTCACACAATCCCTGTCTTAATATCTTTGGGAAATGGTATCACTTAAGCCAACAAATACAGTTATTGGATTGGACAGAAGAGCAATCTTGGCCTCAGTAGGGCATCAGACTTCTTTTGACATATACACCTCAAAAAACTTTTCAGTCTTAAAATCACAGTTATTTATAAACCTGAGTTTATCTCAGGTGGTAGGTTCCTTTCAGATCCAAATCCAGTTGTTAGAACATCAATCCCAGTCCTGATTTATCCTATTCAGCCACAGAAAGCCTCTCCTGAACACAAATTTACAGACTTCGTACAAGAACTGTTGGGGTAATGGATTTTGCAGACAATATGTAGGGAAGCAGTACAAAAGAGCAAGCGGAGGAGATCAGTGCTGGGAAGGAGTCCTGATAAAGTAATACTACTTGCCCTGAAGCACTGCAGTGAAGATAGGGAAGAGTCTAGATGCCCCAGAATGATTAGTAATAGAACATGGACTTTTCCACTAATAGTTTCAAAACTTGTGGCAACAGTATAGGTGTCCTCAGTACAAATGCTAAAAAATAAATGTCTCCATTTCCAAACTCATATGTGCATTAGTTGACATCTCTCGTAGCCACCACAGGCTCTGCCTGCCCTGTGGCTACTTCTGTGCCTGCAGTTAGCTCAGCCTACGCTTATGTGAGGGGATTGAGCTCAGCGATAGGAGGAAAGCTCTAGAGTGAAGCTGTGCTGAGAGCTTGACATCTGTGCTACCTGTGTTAGCAGAGCTCTACACTGGGCTAGCTCTACGCCAAGCTAGCTCTACGCCACATTTATCAGGTATGACTGGGTGGGGGACAGTCACAGCTGTCACTGCAAGACAGCAGATCAAGAAGGATAGAAACTGGAAAGCTGAACTACCCAGTTGTCTGTAAATAGATGTGTTTGATGAATAAAACAAAAATCCAGCAGTTTTTGGGGCATCACGGAGAAATGTATGGCAACAATCTGAGTCACACAATCTTTCAGGTTGGAAAAGACCTCTAAGATCATCGAGTCCAACCGTCAACCTAGTACTGCCAAGACTACCCAAATTTTTTTAACCAATAATTTTAACTCTATGATGTATCATGCCTCAGTAGACAGTCACATATTTAGATCTATTCTACAGAAAACCAGAGGGAGGTACCTAGTATAGGGAGGCAGAGGCAAAGTAATCCGGGTCCACTTGTTGAAAGTATCTGAAATGAGAATCCTCTGGAGATGGTACTTGTTGCATTCCACGTTAGTGGGAAGACAGTCTCTCAAAATCGGGTGCCAGGTCAGTCCAAGGTCAATGGAATATTCCAGTTCAATAGCTAAGGTTGGAAAGATGGTTAGTTACTTAATTTAGACACTTGCATCCGCAGGTCCACAATAAACTGGTAACCCCAGGGAGCATTGGTCACAAATCTACGCTGACAAATAACCACTCAAAACTTTTCAAACCCTTGTGTCAGATGCACATAGAAACCCCCTTTGGTGGCAGTGCTGGAGGATATGTTACATGTTGCTGAGCAGGTATATAACTCAGGAGAAGGCTGCAGTACACCTCCGCACCCGTCACCTAACTCAAGGGACCACAGGTGCAAGACAAAGTCATCTGTCAGGTCACCAGGATTAAGTTAAACCAATTTCTGTGGTTGTAACATGCAAGGAAGTGATGTGACAACATCATGACCCGCAACTTTTTTTGTTCTTCAGGCTGAAGGATGAGATTCAGTTGGATGTAATCATTGTGCAAGGCAGAGCAACACTCAAATTCAAACTTCTGCCTCTGTCACAAGGAAATCACTCTTCCGCTCCCCCCCCCAACCAGCTTATTTCATTACACAGCAAAACAATTTTAAATTGAGTTTGTTAGTCAGTGAGCTTGTTTTCATTCAAACACGGTCTAGCTACATTAAACTAATGTATTCATTTCTCAGCAAAAATCAGCAATTTCATTGTTTTGATGTTTATGGCGTATAAACTTTTATTATGAAAAATAAAGGTTAGTCAAGCTTACTAAATACTTCAAGTTAAACTTTTATGCAGTCATTAAAAAGTAAATAATAATAGGCACAGAGCTGTAACTCGAAGTAAATGTTCCAGCTGCCAGGCATTCTGGCTGTGTAAAACATGGACTGTGGTTGCAGTGACAGGGGTAGTAAATCTGTGATCATTTTGATTACTACAGACCCATTTCTTCTACGCTCATGCACACAGAATGACCCTTAATCACCCAATCAGTCCCATTTGATGTTTAAGCACAGAAGACAGTACTATAGAAGTACAAGGACAAGTGGATACAAACAAGGGTAAGTCAGGTTTTAGTGTTAAATCTCCATCACCAGAATGAAATGCTTTGTTCACCACAACTGGAAGCATGATTAAATTGTGCCAATTCAATACAAAGTTAGGGTGGTTAGTGTAATGGTAAGTGGAGTACACTAAGAAACAAAAGAAGAAGGAATGGTTTCTTTGGTAGCATATAGCTAAGCTGCCAAAACACTTTTAAACTCAGCAGAGGTATCTTAGGATGCCGCAGTGGTTTTAATACCATAAGAAAAAAGATATTGTTAAGCATGTGAAAAAGATATCTCTGTTACTTCCACTGGGCTCAGAATAGCAAAATCAGATAAGCCACTTTTGGGATTTCACGTAAAACCTTTTCTCATTTTTATGCAGAATTCTAAAGAAATAGTCAGCAACCCAGTGGTTTAATACATGCTACATGCTGCAGCATATTGTATTCTCCTTCTCATTAAAAAAATCTATACCCCAAAATGCTATGCTAAAAGAATATAAATTAAGGTGTACAAACAAGCATTCAAAAGCTAGGAAGACCTGTTTCTTGTGCATCTTAAAATTTACATAATGAACTCATTTTTTATTTCCTTGTGATGTGTATTCAGTATAGCATGTTTTTATTTCTATTTGTACGTATATGTGGATATATATGTGTTGGGTTTCTGTGGGGGGTTTTGTTATTGCGGGAGGGGCCACAGGGGTGGCTCCTGTGAGAAGTTGCTAGAAGCTCCCCTGACTCAAGTCAGACCCATGTCTGGCCATGGCCGAACTAATTAGCACCTCTGTGATTAAGGTATTTAAGAGGGAAAAACAAAAAAAGAGAAGCAGCAGAGGAAGAGGAAAAAGTGGAGGGAGAAGTGGAAGGAGAGAGGGGTGGGATGAGAGAGAGACCCCCAGGTCAGTGGGGAAAGGCAGGAGGAGGTGCCCGGAGCAGAGGTTCCCCTGCAGCCCATGGTGAGAGGGCAGGCTGTGCCCTGCAGCCATGGAGAGTCCCGAGGAGCAGAGACCCCCCTGCAGCCTGGGGAGGGCTCCACACTGGAGCAGGCAGCTGCTCCCGAAGGAGCCCATGACTCTGGCAGGCAGCAGTGCCTGAAGGAGGCTGTGACTCTCTGGAAGCCCATGCTGGAGCAGGCTGCTCCTGAAGGACAGCACCCCACAGAAGGGATCCATGCTGGAGCAGTTAGAGGAGAAAACTGCAGCCTGTGGGAAGGACTCACGTTGGAGAAGTTGGTGGAGGACTGTCTCCCGTGGGAAGGACCCCACGGTGGAGCAGGGGCAGAGTGTGAGGAATCCTCCCACTGAAGAGGAAGGAGCGGCAGAGACAGCATGTGATGAACTGACCACAACTCTCATTCCCAATCCCCCTGTGTCAGTTGGGGAGCAGTAGGTGGAGAAATTGGGAGCAAAGCTGAGCTCAGGAAGAAGGGAGGGGTGGGGGAAAGGTGATTTAAGATTTGGTTTTATTTCTTAATATCCTACTCTGATTTGATTGGTAACAAATTAAACTGGTTTTTCTTCCCCAATTTGAGTCTGTTTTGCCTGTGCCCATAACCGGTGAGTGATCCCTCCCTGTCCTTGTCTCAACACATGAGCCTTTCCTTATATTTTCTCCTCCCCATCCCACCAGGGGAGGAGTGAACAAGCAGTTGTGTGGTGTTTAGTTGCCAGCAGGGCCTAAACCAGGACAATATACACAGACACATATAAAAGCATGTGCTGCATTGAATACACATCATATGGGAAAAAAGGAAGCTAGGCAATTAAAAATTGCATCACTATGTCTATATGTGATGCAATGATGTGAATGTATGCATAGATATATGCACACACATATGCATATATCTATGCATACATTCATACACATATATACATACAAATACACATTATTTCATATGGACGATACAAACTTTCGCAGTTGATGCTGACTTAGCTTGTCAGATGTATGATGATATAAATGATTTCTTAGTTATAGAGGTGCAAGTGAGATCTGAAAAAACCACAAAGCAAGAAAATAAATTCTGGAAACACCCAGCTGCTTATTATTGGAACTACAACATCACCCCAGTCAGTGGATACCATATACTGGTATATGGGTTTGAGTAAGACAGCTATTAGTCTTTTTCTTAAATGAATTGAACTGCTACTTAAGTCCCTAGTGGGAATAATGTGCTTTAGTATATCTTAGGCTTCAGGCACCTAGAATAAGTATGCTGACATTACAATTAGTAACAGAAACGTGTAGCTTTCTTTTGTTTCTCAGTTCTCATTACAATGGATAATGAAATCAAAAAACAAGTGAACTTTGCTGTACAGGAGAGGAAGAGGAAGGGCAGGAATTACTAAGAAGTCATTACCATAACAGGAGTCTGTGACAGAGCAGGACGCTGCAAAATCTATTTGCAAGAAAGAGTCTTCGTTGACAACGATGTCAGTGGTGACAACATAGCGGGTGCTAGCTTTCTCAATGAACACTAGAGCATCCCCAGTAGAGCCACAGACTGGCATCTTTGTTCCTCCAGGATGGAGCAGCCACTTTCTACTATCCAGTGTGGTAAAATCATCTTCTAACACTGTATTGCCAGAGATGTTTCCTCCAATAAGAATCTGAAACATTAGGAAAGGAATTGCTATTGAAAAGAAATAGTGTCTGGAAGTCTTCACAAGCATACATGTGACAGAGGAAGAGGAGGAAGAGATTTACCGCCTGTGCCTATATATTCTGCTGGTCCAAAATGGACAAATTCACTTTGTAAAGAGTTTAGGTTATGAGGAAGGGGAATATCTTTTTCCTACAAAGGGAGCCTAAACAGATTGGCTCAGCTATATACATGTAGAGTTCAATCCATCCTGGATGAAGTAAACTGCTCACTAAAATGAATGTTGTTAGGAGCAAAGTGATTACACTGTCATTTTTCCTACTGACACTTCAGCTCTACTACAACCTGGTGCACTACTATCAGACTGCATCTGATGATAGAACTGGGGAAAAACCCTGTTCTTCCACTGACTGTAAGATATCACTGTAAGCATTTTACTGTTCCACACCAAGCAAGGTAGAATTAAATTTTATTTGTTTTTCTGAATTCAATTTCTGATTGTTCTGGAGTAATGTAACTACATTCAGTGAAGATACAGGAGTGAAAGAATGAGGATCTTTTTCATTTTTAAATGAAGGGATGAGAAGTAAAATTTTGTAACCACATCACTAAACGTGTCTGGGAGTTTGGCTTCTGGGTTTTTCGTAAGGACTTGAACTAAGGCTTTAAAAAAACATTCATAAATATTTACGCAAATTGAACTTGGACAGCCCAATAACACTACAATCACTTTAGTGGGTGTTTTTTTTGAGATTTATACTGTCATACGAAACAATACAATAAACTTTATAGAAGCAAATCACAAATATGAAACAAAGCTTTGCTTTTAAAGCTACAAGATGGATATAGATTAAAGTTTTTCTATAGTTTTTCATGTTCTGTTCTACCAAGACAGTTACACATTTGGATAGATTTAAATGACAGTTTTTGAAGTTTGAACTAAGGCCTCCATGTTGCATGTCAAGGCCTTCTGCAATGCGAACCTAAGGCTCTGCCTATGTATAAAAGACCTTCCTAGCTCCAAAACAGGCATTCAGTAACCTACATGGAAACTGTGCATGAAAAACACAAGATCAGCTAACAGTAATTGTGCTCTAGCACTTTGCGAGATTGTTATAATTCTGGAATACCCTTACACAAAGCATTTTTGCTCGACCCAGTGAAATGACACATACCAACAAATGGGAAACACTGAGACTGAAACCAGTCTGAAGTTATATTAAAAAAACCAACCCAGGATTCCTTACCTGGTCGATTACCCATGGACTGTAGAAATGCCCGTTCTCGGATGGTTGCCACCAGCGAAGCCGAGTGGAGCTGGAACGGGCCTTCAAGGGAATTTCCAGGGCAATGTATCGTCCCACGTTGCTGGAGTTACTGAAGAGGAACTCCTGGAGAAGGCTCCACGTGAGGCCCCCGTTGAGCGAATACTGCAGAAGCACAGGCTGGCTCCTGGGGTCTGGCACCCCCTTGCCACATCCCAGTCTCATGAAAAACTGTACAAACCTAACAAGGGGAGCAATTACTGGAAATACTTATTTTCTACAATGTCCTAGATAACCAACTAGAGAGACTTGGAGTTTGTCTATTGAATAGCTCCTGATTTCTTGCTCTAAGAGTCAGCAGCTTTAGGAGACCTTATGACTTCCTTTTCAAAGCCTCCAGATTATAAGCAGACAGACAGGTAGGATGACAAAAGTTCATTTTGCCTGTGCTGTATTTTGCCAGGCAGAAGCAGCTGAACAAAGCCGGGCATTCATGTTTTGAGCTTTTGTCTGCATAGCAGATGGTGTTGCAAATATCAGAAACATAATCCTGGGTGAAATTTTTATCCCTATAGCCCATGAGTGCAGATTTCAGTGGCAGAAAAGCAATGGTGCCCTAAGTATATCATAATTTGTTGCGAATTTGCCAAAATGCTTAAATTTAAAATAAGCATCCCGTTTTTCTATTGGCATAAAGTAGAGAAAATCTGGACAGGAGAACAAAGCATGTTTCACTTTCAGGGATCATTTTGTCCATTTAGTCAGCCTGGGAAATTTGTCTAAATCACATCACTTAAATGTGCTGGCCTCCCTGAAGCCAGTCCAAGCCACCCAGAGACACCAGTGCTTTCATCCCCTGTTTAATTGGCTTCTCCAAAGCAGCACAACAGACTTGTATCAAACTGCGAAATCCCTCCTGTTAGCCGATGCTCATCAATAGCTCTACCATGCACTTGGAGTGGAGGGAATCGCTGCTGTAATGATATTTACCTATCCGACTCGCAGGCACATTACGAGTATTATTTCATGTCTGCACAGCTTTTGCACAGCTTTAGAGTGTCATGCCTGTTCTAATTAGTACTGCATTAGTGCCGCCCGGCTCACGGTTAAACGAAATGGTGCAAAAGAAGTTTTGAATCAAGTCTTGCTCTGGTTTGATGTGCAGGTGGATCCGCTGGGAGTGGAGGCTGCAGGGGTGCTGGGCAGACAAAGCTTCAATAAAACACTAGACCTGCAAGTCAATTAATTCTAGTCCTCACTGCAACTCATGGTTTCTCTTGCTACTATATATAACTTCTTCCACTATAGATTATATCCACCTCCACGTCCCAGACGTAACATATTGCTTGTGCTGTAAAGGAACACTGGGGACTCTCATGGATCAACATATCAAACGTAATGGATTGGATTCACTGCTGGCAAGTCTTTGTGCCTCCTCAGGTTTACTCTGACATTCACCACATAATTCAAAGGAAATAAGCCCAGGTGACCTTGTCTCTGTTGAATTTGTTCTCCGTGGATTGCTATTCTTTCATCTGAATTTTTACTAGTATAGTAATAACCCACACAAACACAGGTAACATAATGTGTAGCAGATTTAAAAGTTAAGTAATTTTAAATATCTCTCTTCTCATCCCACCGATATTTGCAAAGACTCTGCCTATTTTGAAATGGAAACCCAAGTTTTCTTGTATATTCGGTGACACTAACTTGTGTGGGTATTCTAGTAATTCAGAATTGAAAGGATTTGATCAGGTGCGATACCTAAAATATGCTGTCCCTATTGATACTTCATGCTGTGCAGTTTCAGCTACTGGTATCCCCATGATGGCAATAAACTGTCCCCTCTGTTAAATTCTTTAAAATATAGATGTGATGGGAGTGGATAGATTGCAGAGCCCACTCGTGATCCCCAAGTGCTGAGTGTGGCTTGTAGCACCAACACCACTGCTCACCTGTGTACTTTAGGGGATGCCCACAGAAGAAAAGGGGAGGTTTTAATGTGACTACTGAGTCTACTACCCTTTAAGAGATCTACTAGAAACACTGGTTCTCATAATTCTTGGAGTAAATTGAACCCTCTCCCCAGAACTGCTGTGCTTTGCAGGTGGCTGACAGAGTCAGCCTGGAAATTAAGAAAATCCCTCTGCAATTATTTTAGGTTGCTGAAGAGCAGATGCTGTAGTCTGCCTTGCTGTTCAGAAGACAGCATAGAGTTATTTGTGGATAACTGTTATTTTTCATAAGCATATACAAAAAATTAAACGTACTGCTTTGTTTTCCTTTTACTAAGACAGAAGTAATTTATCTCTATATAACACCTGGAGGTCAATATATGCAAATCCAGCTACAGACTATCATCGAGAAGAGATAAATGACGGTTCTTTGAACATGAGCAATAAGGAAAACATGCCATTTAGTCTAATGGAGCAACTTACAAGATCTCTTATGTCTTTTGTTAAACAATCATTTAATTTCAGAATGGTCTAGGAAATCAAATTAGTGCAGAGTATTGATGTTTGTGTTTACCATGTTCTGAAAAAAGTTTGCTGTGAGTAATCTCACAAATTCAGTACAAGGACCTCTCATATTCCACCTCACTGAGGGTTCACTAATTGCTTATCTAAAATATATAATGGTTAGAAATAAGGCATCTTTACTGACCATGAAGGTCTGCAATTAAACCATTATTTAAAGGTTCAGTGCTAATGAAGACAAGTCAAAAAGAGATAAAAGTGCCTGTTAAAGTGTTTCCCACAGAACATTAGGGTAGGGTGTTTGCAAGAGACCAGTGAAAAAAAGTCTAGAAGAAAATGCAATCTCTCCAAAGTAATTATATAAAGATGTAAGATAAGATACTGAATAAATTAGAAAACAATGCCTATTTGTTAGCATGCACGCAATTAGGATGTGGTTAAATTTGTATTAGTGTAATTTTTTTAATATGGCTTGCTTAGCATGTCTCACTCATCAAATATCTCGTCTGCAGGCTGTAATGATACAACATAATCTCTAAATACACTAAAAATATTTGGTTTTCAATTGCTGTGCTCAGTGTAGCTGGTGACAGCTTGATGGGAATTTCTCAGTGAATTATTGGAAACAAAGGTGCTTAGTAAGAAGAAAGTAAGCTTCAGAAATGAAAGAATTATGAGATGATGAATGAGAGAGTTATACTGGCAGCAGATACTCCTGTTTCAGAAATGGTTCATAATACAATAAACAGTAAGTCAAGCAGAGTGTGTGACATGCAATCTATTTCTCATTTCACATTTGAGAAGTAAAAACTTTCATTAACTACTGAAGGTGTGGCATCAGATTCTGGAGTTCTTATTCAAGGAAAAAGGTAACATTTAATTGGCTAATCCCATTAAAGATCAATTAAAATTGGTAACAGTGGATAAAATGGAATATTTGCTAGAGTAAGGACCAAAGAATGTATCAGCTTCCTTTTACCACAGAAGTATCGTGTATGTGTATTTAGTATATTATTTCTTCAGTGAATTCCTGAAAGGACTTTGGAATTGTGTTACCTGGCTTGTGACAAGTCTAGGTCTCGAGTCATCAGCATACGTAAGCCTTCTTCATTAAAGAAAAGGTTGTTTCCTCCAGACATGATACCGCATTTCCTTGATGGCTTTCCACCACTCACAAGCAGGAATCTGTCAGACTCCAGCTGACCTGAATACACCATAAATGCATATTTATGATTTACTCCAAAGTGCTCCTACTGCAAGAGTACTATTTCCACAGGAAGAGAGCTAAATTAAACATCACATGAAGAGTAAACAAATACGCAGTGTTTCTGATACAAAGATTTCTAGAAAACTGCCATGGCTCAAAACAAACAAAATAAACCCAGAAGTATGAAGTTTGGGATCTTAGTCTCCAGTTCTTCACAGGATTTTCTAATTTTCTTCATTTTTTTAGGAGACAACAACAAGGTACCCAGGTCTATAAAGGAACTGTGAGTGCCATGTGGTAGCATGCAAGCAAGGGTTGGCAAAAGTGAAAATGAACAGCAGCGCCTATGAAAGGGTGAGTTTGGTTCACAGGTGCTCCTTTATTCAACATGTGCTCTCCTTGCCATGCTCGCTCCCAGGGGAAACCTTGATGTGCTTTTAGAGTTGTGCACGGGGATGCTGTGTGTGCCCAGGCACGCGTGAGGCTTTGAGCTTCCTCCGGCATCGCTCGCTTAGGGTCTCCGTGCCTGCCGAGCGGTGGCCCTCACCGCTGAGACACACGGTCTGCTCTGAAATGATGTTTGCTGTATTAAGGCCATATAGTTTTCCCATGTAGTGAGAAATGACAAAACCTTAAAGCCCTCCGCTGTCTGCCTCACTTGCACAGGTTCTGTCTGTGCTAAGTCAAACTACCGTCAAACCATCATTTTCTTTTAAAATTCTGTTCTACATGCACTTTCAGGAAATTATATTTTGGTGAAGATTTTGAATTTGAACATTAACAACTTCACAAAGAGTCAGCTACTCCAAACCAGGCAACTGATAGCCATCAGACATTCACAAATCGTGTTTGAGAATGTCATCTAAAGTACTTGGTTCATGGGAATATTCCTCAGCATAAATTAAATTCAGAAGCATGGAGAGGTGAGGAAGACTATGCTGTTTCATCCCTTGAGCTCTGGGTTCCACGAAGACAGACAGTCAGAATTCAGACCAAAAAAAGAGAAGACATACCTTCAAAATCATCCTTAAGGAAGTCAGAGTTCTTGGTACTTATTTTACAGGTTGGCCCGGAGTATCCAGGGTCACAGATGCACTTTGTGCCGTTGATACAGCTGCCGTGGCCATTGCACATCTCCTCGCACTGCGGACCGATGTACACGTTGTCAATGGCCCAAGTCTGTGGCTGGGATCCAGCAGGGTAAAAACCTTGGTACCATCTGAACCTTGCCAACCTGAAAAAGGCATGAAGTGTACTTACTTTAAATAGAAATTCCACCTTTCTTTTGTATTCTGCATATATATACACAATACTATGTATATACACCATTTTTTTGGTTGGAACTGGGTTGACAAATAGAATTCATTCTAGAAACCGACTGCTATATCTAATTTCTTCACTACCTCACGCACCTTTATGCAGACATTCAACTCAAGTACTGACAGAAATAAAAGTAACATTATTCCTTAGTTGTACACTGAATGACAAACTTGAAGTGGGAATTGAAATCTAACCACTCTTGCTCGTGGGGATGATGAACGGCCATGGCCTGATGAATTTCCTTCCACTTTGGGGTACATTGTCTGGGTCAGTCCAAGACACTTTCAACCCCTCCTGGAGAGTGAAATCCTACTTCAGGCTGCCCTTCTGCCTGCAGGGAGACCACCTGCCAAACTGGGGTGGCAAGATCTCACCCTCAACCAGAAAGAGAACAGGATCTGACATGTCACTAGGTGTTCAGCTTGCTTTCAGGCAGCTGAATCTTAAACAAGACTGATATTGCAAGTTGTTAATTTAAACTATCTTCTCCTTTGGGTGCTGTCCTGTCATTTTTAATTTGCCTCCTAAGTGCTACTCACATCAATGCTGCATGTAAAGAGGAACCGACTCGGGAAGGAGGGAAAACAAACTGAGCAAGTCTCTCACTTGAGAGACTAAACTTATTCCCAGATGAGGAAATGTTTTAAAGGAGGAAGGAAACCAGAAGACTGAGAAGGGAAAAGCACTTAATTGCACTGCATGTTTAATGTGTCTTGTTAGGAATATCTAAATGCAGGAGGTGAATCAATAGCATGGGTAGCCGGTGAGTTTTTGTCTTGATTTGCTAAAAAGGAATTTTTATGAGGGGATTCAGATGGTAAGGGATAAATGATCAGTGGGAATATTACTAACAGCCTCAAGAAAGATACCCAAGACCCAGAGTCCTGCTGGAAGTAAAAACCATTGATTTTAGTGTGCCTTGAGGTGAAGCACAGAAGTGTGAGGGTGGAGGTGTTGTACGCTCCACTTCAGAGGACATCTCTGTCCCATGGGCTGGATTCGTTCCACCCCTGAGGCACGTCAGCTTCCCCTCTCAGGCGTGGGTGAAGCATGACTTGTTTCTGAAGCAGAGTGAAATGCCAGTCTTGCTGAAGTCAGTAGGGGTTTCTTCACTGACTCAACAGGCCCTGGGCCTCTCCTTCAGGACATAACTGGAATACGAATTTTTAATTACAGCTATCCGCTGAGAACGCATATTCACTTCCAAAATAACATCCATCATGTAAATAACTAAAAATGTCTTCGCTTAAATATAATCACTTGACATTTTGAGGATGAAAAGCCTTTTCTAATTTTTTAGCATTACACAAGGAGTCAGGTTTGGAGTTTTTTTCTTGTTATTCCAGTGGATTCTGGTGGAGAAAATCTCCCTTCATCCTGCTGGCCCAAGAATTTCAAGGCACCAAATGCACCATAGAAGCTGCTCTGTGCTGCTGGATTTGGCTGGCTATCAGCAACTGGCTTCTGGCCAGGCATGTTGGGGAAGGAATAGGAGGGAAGGCAGGCAAATGGGACAGAAACACTCAGGAACAGAGGACTAAATAAAATACCTGCAAGACCTGAATGAGTTAGGAGTCTGCATGGTCAAAATTTTCATTTGGAGGGAATGCATTGGTAGTTGGGTAAAGGGTCAGATCATTCTTTGGGCAAAAACAGAAGGACAAGTGAGCTGCTGCAAGAGATGGTTACCTATTCCATGCTTTAAATGTTAACTGTCATAAAGCAGAAAATTCAAGTTTAAAATTTAAACATTTTCTTAAATTATTAAACATTCAGGCTTTCCAAATTTGGTTCTCATCTCTTATATAGGAATTTTCATACTTTCAGAGACACATATGGGGCCACTTGTTTAGTGGGAGGGCTCACTGGATGTTTCATAAATACTCGGTCTCATAGGTGCATAGACTCATAAAGTCTCATAGCTACACAGCTCATTTTCATTCATATGTGCTACAGTTTAATCCTTTTACATAAACTGACATGATGCTAGAAGACAGTTTTCCCTGAAAAAGTAAACAATACTGTTTTAGACTTTGAAAAGTTGTATATTATTATGCCTGCTAGCATGTATCTTTCTGTGATATGTATGGGTTATCATCCAACCTGGCTTGTCCCACAAACTTCAAGTTCCTGTGTGACTGCAGCAGTTTATTTCTTAGAATGAGAGAACTTTGCAGCTACAAGAGTCCTCAAATATTTAGGTAAGTCTATTTCCTTACACTGAGGTAGAATCAAGTTAAAACTAGCACACATTTTACTGCATTTTCTAATGAATCTCAGATTTCATGCAAGAATATCCTTGATGAGTTCAAATGGCTAATGCATTGCAGTAAAGAGCCTTGAAGGAGCTTTAGTCAGTTTTGCATTCCTTTCACTATGCAACCCATGTCCATAAAAATGTCACCAATTAGATATATGAATAAATAGGAAATTATCTGTGGTTATTCTACATGAGCATTAGGCCCAACATACTTTTGGGAATCACCTGAACACTAATTCAGAACAAAAAGCAGTGCAAAGCTGATCATCTGGTCTGCTCTGGTGCTGCAGTTCTTATGGACTGCTCTTGTGCTGGGAGAACATTTTGGATGGGAAACAGCAATAAAACCAAGCCAACAAGCAGCTGGGTGGGAATAGGAGCTGGACACTCACCCACAGAGGTGGAGTTTTCCGAAGTGAATGACCTCCCTTCTCCAGCCCTGGGTGGTGCCTGCGTAGTAGGTGCTACTTGGGTGATGCTCGGTGGAGCACAGGGAGCTGAGGTGGCTGCTGCTGCTGTAGCACAAGGGGAGCAGCAGGTGCCAGGTCGCCCCCAGATCTCGTGAGAACTCCAGCTTTACTGGGTCGGCAGAGGAACTGTCAGTGGTGCAGCCAATATTGATCTGGGGACCAAGACATGAAATGCAGAAGATGACACAGGGTAGGCTGTGGGACTCCTAATCACTCTTTGTCGTAGTCAGCCTCTCCCATTTGGTATGGTATTTATTCAGCCCAGAAAAATCATGATTTGGGAACTCATTTAACAACTGGGATGATGCCCTCAGGATATGCACATGAACATGAACTCTTCTTGCACATTGCCCTACCTGTCCATGAACACATTGCACTCTGGCTTAGTATAAAATGAATGTAATATGAAATCCCAACTACTTCTACTGTAAGAAAAACATAAAGTTAACAAGACAAAATCCTGAAGGAGAGCTGCTAACGTTGCTGGAGCAAATACATCAGCTCTTCCAGTCCTCTGGCAGGTACTGAAGTAATCACAGCACCAAAAAAATGTGCATTTTTAAAACCAAAAGTATTAAAACAACATGTGCGAGCATAAACTTTTTGTTAAATTGCTGAGCTGCGCTATGGTCCTCTTTTAAGTTACACTTCCAAAAAAAACACATCTTATGCCACAGGATGTGTGTTGTATCACTTCAATATGTTCTTCAGCTTTCATACTTACTACCCATTTGCTCACATGTAGCGGCCCTAGGAGACAGCATTTAAAGTGTTATCATAGTTGGATTGCATTTAGATTCAGTGTCACACAAAAACATAGTTTGGCAGCATCAAGCTTCTCAGGGTGTTCTTACAAGATTCTTGATATTGATAATAGCAGAAAAGGCAGAAAACTTACGTGAACAACAGTTCTATGAAAGAAAAAAATATAGAAAGATGTTTTGTGCAGATCTGAGACCTCTTAACACATATTTTCTGCATGCACCCCGTGCAAATTAGTCATCTTTTCTTTCACACTGATATTAAGATGTTCTTTTAGTTTCAAATTGCTTATATAAAAGAAGAATTAGTTCCCTTACAAGATGATGCTGTCATATAAAACAAGATGTACTATACTTACCATGCAATAAATAAAACCCCATTGCCAATGATATACGAAGCCTGTAATAAAACTATGAAACATTTTGGGTTTTTTACGTATCTTTGTAGCAGAAAATATGTATCTTTTTAACATGCTGCTCTGTCATGAAAATCTCTTTCTTTCTAAAACACAGTAATGCTCAGAACTGTGCATGAATGTTGAAAATGAATCCTACATCGAATTTCCTTCATAACTCTTCAGTGCACATGAGTCCCATCAACCTACATTTGACTGGAAGGGTTGTCTACTCATCTGGAAGCTTAGAGACATGCTTGACCCAATATAGGTTTTGACTCTGGAGACACAGAGAGAAACTCTACTGCATTATGCAAAACCTCTTCATTTATACTGATGTCCTCAAAAATGTGAGCTGAAAACAATGTTATTACCACATATGGAAGTAAGCATGTAGATTTTATGATGTTAATGCTCTGAAAACTTATGAATATCTTAAAGTGACCTCAAACATTTTTGTTCTACAGGCTGTAATCTATATTTTAAAACAGAAAATTATTTGCATTCAATAATTCATGAGTAAGTTGCATGACAAACTGAAGCCTGCATGAGTACACAGCTAAACCTACTTTTCTTGGATAACCCTTAGTCTCATTTTAGTCATTGTTTATAAACCAGTATTGTTTGCTGTTTAATGCTACAGCAAGCTACTGGGTCAGGTCATGGAAATGCTGCACAATTTTTTTGAATGGGTTGTGAAGTGGCAGTTTGAACCTTCATTATATTTTGCTCATCGTCTTCTCTGCCAGTGGCAACTCTCCAATTAGTATGACGTGGACTTTATTGCTATCAGTGCAAGTATATAGGCATGGAGAAAGTAGTAATGTAGGCAAGAAAGTAGAAGACTTTGAAGTAGAAATGTCTATGTCTAAAGCTTCATGATATGCTCACATGAAGGAAAATAATGTCAAAGCAATTACAGGGGAAATTAGACAGACCTCTACCAGGCAATCATAACAGCTGGGCAAATACACCAAAGAGCAGAACCTGAAAGAACAGACCTCGCTAAGCAAAAATCAAAATAACTTTCTGAGGACAAGTACCTCAAACTGGATTATAGTGTTTTCATTTACATTCAGGTCCCTTGTTGTAATGGAGTGTTCTCCAACTTCATTTGAAACAAATACCATAGCCGAATCTTCTTCCCTGTAAAAAACAGGAAAGGAGTACTTTAGACTCAGTTTATTACACAGTCACTTCTTTCTAATTTATTGCTGAGAGATGCTTACGGAGCTCCTTTAGAAGAATATGGGCAATAAAGCCCAATGTTCCCACCAGGATAGAAAAACCAGTTGTCCTCTTTGGGACCGAAATCAAATGTATCCAAAAGGATCACAGGGTTCTTCAGGTTATTTCCATCAATGATGAAGTCATCAATAATCCAGATTTCTTCTTTTTTGCCTACAAAGAAAAGGGGAACATTCCTATTAAGAACTAATAATACTATTAGTAGAGAGCAGAACAGTAGCCAGTGTTTATGGATTACAGAGAAAAGGGCACTAAAAGTATGGCTTCATTATTTTCATTTTCCATGAAAATAGTCCCCATACTGCTCTGCAGCCTGACCCTATAGAATTAATTTCTATTCCTCTAAAATTTACAGAAATCACAGCAAACTGTAGAGAGAAAAATCTGTGTTCAATGTTCTGTTTAAATCACACTTACTCTGAAACTCTAGCATCAATGTCTTCTTTAATTAACAATCGTCTAAATGAGCAGTCGCGTAGAGCCCAAGCAGCCTGAAAGGATGATTTCATCCTGCACCTTTTTCCTTGCACTTAGCAGCTTGTGTTTGGCTGGCAAGAACTCTTCGAGACAGAAGGAAACTCTGAGTGACCTTCTCTCCAATGGATTATGAATTTAAATATGTTGGAAAATTGGTGCTTTTAAACTGGAAAGATTGGACTGCCAGATCTTTTGTGTAAATGTTTTTTTCATCTATCTAAAAGCCTTTGTGTTGATCAGGGGAAGCCAAAGGCTTCTTTTGAATAAAATTCCCACTTAAGGATAATGTCTGCAAGAAAAATCTAGTTGAATGTTTTAGGCAGGACCACCAGAAGAATGGATTGGATTCTCAGGACCAGATTTAAAATTTTTTTTTTTTTTGTTTGTTTGTTTTGTTAGAGATGTACTAGGTGTTTGCCTGCAAGGAATAAATCATTGCTGTATCTCTGTGTCTAAATGATCACTGGGATTCTTTAGAGCCCTTAATGTCAGCAGCTGCTAAGAGATGTGCTCAGTGTAACTGAGAGCAGAGAAGAGCTTTCTTCAGCGGCCCATCTCCTGTAATCAGGAGGAATGAGCTCCATTCCTCATGTGGTTTTCTACAGTCTTTTACAATTTAATCAAGAGATTAACTGCTCACTACATACTCTTTCTAAATGGGTTTTTAATGCCCAGTTAATTCTGAGCAAGGTAGGCCCCATTCCCATTTACACTTGGGACACTTTTGTATAATTGGAGCATTCTAATGGGGCCTCAGTGTAAATGAGAATCAGGTCCATTAAAAATAATGAGAAGAACCTGAGTGAAGTTAACTTTATAGGTGTTGCTTGATCTCCCAGTCCCTCGAGGACCAAAGTTGATCGTCTTCTGCACACAGTCAAGGGGTTAGGTCAAAGTTAAGGTACTTTCACTTTAAAAACTTTATAAAAACAGTAAACATAATCCTTCAATAATTTTAACTGAGGGAGTTCAAATATAAGAAAAAACGGTTTAAGAGTCTCTATTATTGTTGAGTTCAAAAATCTAGCCTCTTACAGATGCTGAGCTGTGCAACTGCGGATCTGGAGTCCCATGAGTGTCATTTCCTTACCATTGTTGTAAGGTTGCCAGAGCCTGAACCGTGTCGCGTTGCTTTGGGCTGCATAGGGCAGAGGAACGTTAATAAAGAGGACATCTGTAGTCTGCGTGAAGTAAAACTCATCTATCAGGTGCCAAGTGATGCCACCGTTGACAGAATATTGCAGCAGGATGGAATGAGACCGCTCGGGGGTGCCTGGAGCAGAAAGGACGTGCATTTACCTTCAGTATAATCCAGATTTAAAAAGCACTAGCTCAAAACCACTTACTAAAGTGTAAATACAATTAGGTTATTTTGACATCTCTTACAGAGTATGGACTTCCTTTAACAACAACTTAAGGAGTTAAGACATTCTGTGTGTATTGTAGATATACATCTTTCTGTGTCTGCAAAGTGCTAATGAATTAGGGGCCAAAATTACATTGCTGTTCCTGTATGTACTGTCAAAGTTAATTAATTAGATGAGAAGCTATCTCAGCGTTATACTTGCTTAGAACAAACCAGCTCCTTCTACCACAGACATTTTTCAGTAATTCAGTATTTATTTGCTTGTTTTTCCCAAGTACCAGACATTACCCTCACCATCTGTAGCACCCACAGATAGACACAGTCCTTACCCTCACAAATTTATAGTCTGTGGCAGTGACTGCAGACACTGATATGAGCATATTCACGCCCAGAAATCACATAATTGATGGAAAGGGCTGAAAATCTTTATTAGCATGTTTTAACAACAAAAAAGCAATATTCTGTACTTCAAGCTGGGCCTAAAAATCAGTGGTGGAACTAAGAGTATAATTTCCATTTTCTGACTACCAGTTCCTCCTTTTTCACTTAAAGCTTTAGAGAGTCAGTGAAGGCTCTTTGCAGCCCCAGCTATTAACATATGCTGATCAGAGCCCAGCACCTGCATTACTTGGACTGAAGCTTAAAAACACTGTAGTTCCTTATCAGTCCTTTAAGTAATCTACTATAGGCACCATTTTATGACTTAAAAAACCTGATACATTGATACAGCCCAATCGTATCCTGGGCTGTATCAGAAGTGTGGCCAGCAGGTTGAGGGAGGGGATTCTGCCCCTCTACTCTGTTCTTGTGAGACTCCACCTGGAGTGCTGCATCCAGCTGTGGGGCCCCCAACATCAGAAGGATATAGACTGGTTGGAGTGAGTCCAGAGGAGGCCACAAAGATGATCAGAGGGCTGGAGCACCTCTGCGATGGGGACAGGCTGAGAGAGTTGGGCTTGTTCAGCCTGGAGAAGAGAAGGCTCCGGGGAGACCTTATTGCAGGCTTCCAGTACCTGAAGGGGCTACAAGGAAGCTGGGGGGGACTTTTTACAAGGGCCTGTAGTGACAGGACAAGGGGTAACGGGTTTAAATTGAAAGTGGGGAGGTTTAGATTAGATATTGAGAAAAAATTCTTCACATCGAGAGTGGTTACGCATCGAACAGGTTGCCCAGAGAAGCTGTGGATGCCCCATCCCTGGAAGTGTTCAAGGCCAGGCTGGATGAGGCTTTGAGCAACCTGGTCTAGTGGAAGGTGTCCCTGCCCATGGCAGGGGGATTAGAACTAGATGATCTTTAAGATCCCTTCCAACCCAAACCATTCTATGATTCTATGACTCTATGATTTTTTTCCCCAACATACTGCAAAATCTCTAAAAAATCTTACGCTATTTTGTTTCTCTTCCTCTCCAAGACTGTACCAGCTGTGTGGTTGTGGGCACTACCACAGTTTACTTTTTTCTTTGGAACTGCACAGAGGGCTATGTATGCTGGTAGCAAGGTAGCGATGATGCAGACTCTCAGGCAAGTTCCCATGTTATGTACCATAAACTGATGATCATGTACACTGAAGTTAAAAATTGAAATCCATATTCTTTTCTGTGATGCTACTATGTATGAATAAATACAGAGAAGTAATAGTAAATCAACAGTGATCTTACCTTTGGCAATAAATTTAAATGAAAACTGGATGTACACGGTATTGGTGCAATCTAGATCTCTTGAAACAAGCATTCTCAGTCCTTCCTGGAAATACAGAACATACAGTGTGATTCTCAGTTCCCATTCTCGAATATGCTCTGCAGCTTAAAATTGTCTGGATGTTGCCTGTTACTGACTGCTGGTGGCAGCAAGAGAGGTAGTTCTCTGTCCCACGCCTTCTCCCAGGCAGAAAAAGGGGACAGTGATAGCCTTGGCAAAGGGAGCTGTAGTAATAGAAAGGGCTCGATAGGGGTGTGTGTCACCACTAGAAGCACAGCTACATGATCGGGTGCAGACACAGGTACAGCTCGTTCAGATCCTGCTCTGAACCACTGGGATGTGACCTGATCTGCAAGCACGGACTTACTAAGACAGTGACTCCAAGTTAGTAAACTCATTTTTGGGGCAAACTGTACAGTAGCCAAGCACCCTAATTTCCAGGCAGGAAGACTCCTCTCTAAGAGCTCTTTTCTGTGCCTCAAAAATATTTTGTACAAATATCCTTTTCTGGGGTAGCCTCCTGACTTAGACCAGTAAGGAAAGGGAGCAGACAAGAAACCTCATAATGACCCTTAAGGCCCTGGCCCTCTCCATAGATGAGCTCAGTGTTGTGGGGATCCTGGGGCCAGAGCCAGTCCCTGTTCTGCAGAGATCTGGCAAACCACCTCTCAGAGCTTCCCTCATTCTCAGACCTATTCTCTCAGGGGAACAGCCTGCAGGAACACCAATCCAATTTTAGATAATTCACAACTGGTAATTTGTGATTTAAATGATCTAAGGAGGTTGAACTGGAGTCAAGGTTTTGCAAAGAAATTTTTCTAAAAAATTAATTTCTAGACCAAACATTATTAAACTTTGATTGTTTGGGGCACCTCAGTTCACAGTGTCAAATGAAGACTCATGTGTTAGTTTAAAATTTGTGTGCTTACATGAACAAAAATCTATTATGTGTTTTGTTGAAGAACTGAGAAGTTTAAAAATATGATATTTCCTGGCCTTTTTTTAACCTGTAATTAAAGAAAAAAATTCCTTCAAGTGCTAGACAACTAGCTAGAATGACAGAACCAAGTAAAACACAGGCTAACTATGTAACCATTGATTACATAGATTACAGTGCTTACTAATTTGTATTACTCAAAATACTCAAAAGCCAGCTAGGGGATTTCAAGACACAAACACAATCAACTGTAATGTGTGCGAGATTTTCAAATCATTCAGCCTCAAGAATCTCAGCTTCAGAGTTTCATACTTCAGTGGTTAAGGAGGAATTTATACCACAAATGAAGGTAACAGCCAACAAATAGATGAAATTAATTTGTTCATAAAAAAACCTGTGACAATCATGGTGCATACTCAGGGCAGGAAAAGACAAGAAAAATGAAAATGTCAAATTCTAGCCTTAAGACTTTGACACAAACATGGGGGGAGGGGGGGGGAATTTACTTTCTGGTTTTAGGTCTACATGTTTTATTATTTTTTTTAATGTAGGTAATCTCTGACCCCTTTAAAAATGAGAGCTGTTCCAGACTTGATGGTGTCACCATTCAGGTTTCCTCTCTCAGCACCATAGACCTCAGGCCAAAGGTCTGGATGCAAGTTACCGTTGAAATCATCCTTCAGGACAGACGGCAGAGGAATGACAGGGACACAGTATGGACCACCAAAGCCTCTGTCACACCTAGCAACAAAGTGGGAGGAGAAGGTGTTATCCATCTGTCCTAGATAAAACACAACATCCTTTCTGTGAAGCAGGTTAAGCAGGTTGCTACTTACACACAACGACCTGCATCACAGATGCCGTGGCCTGAGCACATCCAGGGGCACCCTGTAGCCAGGACGACATTATCAATAGCCCAGGAATCAACGCCAGAAGCATAGTTGTACTGAATCCATCTGAACCGTGTTCTGGGAGAGCTAGAAAAAAAATAGAGTGAATGTATTTCAGGCTTTAAAATGTCTGCTCCACAAAGCGTTAAATAATAAAGAAAATCCCCTAGACTTCAGGAAAAGAAAAGCATATTAATAAGCATGAATCCCTGTATTTGGAAAAGATTCATATTCCAGTTGAAACTGGAAGTTTCAATTTCTCAGGTTAGATTTTAGGCAAAATTCCAGCAGACTCTAAAGGATGAGGCCCAAAGTGGTGAAAGCCAAGAAGGAACATTGCTGCAACTCTTGCTGGTCAGCAAAGCGGTTGACCGGAAACTGTTAGCTACACTGGCATTCAACAGCTCCATATGCTGCTAGCAGAGGTAAAACAATATAATCGCTTCAGTAAAGTAAAAAGTAATGAAAGTTCATTTATACTAGGTGTTGTGTAAAGAAAAAACAGTGACTACACTTGCTCATATATATATGTATAAAAAAGTATGAATATATCTAGTGGAAGGTGTCCCTGCCCATGGCAAGGGGGTTGGAACTAGATGATCTTTAAGGTCCCTTCCAACCCAAACCATTCTGTGATTCTATGATATATGTACAAACATGCACATGCAAACACACTGCTGTGATTGCTGACTGCCTTTTTGTGAGGATGAGGAATATATTTTGAAAAAAAAAATCTGTCCAGATACTATGTGTTAGATCATCTTGCATTTGTTCAGGCAGGAAATGTGCTGCAGACAGAGAATTGCCCCCAGACTTTGACAGGCTCAGGATATCATGATATTTGTGAAGAAGATCTTTTGGAAGCTGTGTAGTTATCTAGAGTGAACTATGGAATTAGAAACCAAGATGTGAGCCCCAGTTCCTTTACTGTGTGTCCATTTTCTGGATGGTGATATTTACAGAGGTTAATGTGTAGGGTGCTTTGAAGAGTTATAGAATTATTCAGAATAATGGTAAGCAATATCATCATCTGTCATTTCTAAACGAGAATATGGTTTTATTCAGAGAGAGGGATGCCAGCATATCTGCCACATCCATTTACAACCACGTGCTAACACTGTGAGGCAGGCAGAACTCTCCTCCAGGACAAAAGGGTGGAGGTGGCACATCTAGTAACATGCATTGTGACTTGCTGAATGCCATGACTAACATGCCTAGAGGTTGGATGACAACTTACATGCAAGACAGAAAATACTTTTATATGAAAGGATGGGTCAGGGCATTCATTCTTGCTTCTTACTGGGTAAATAGTAGAAAAGCTTGGTTTAGCATTCCTGTTCTTTCTGTCATAGATTATAGGCAAAACTTAAGAACTGACTTATCCAAAGTTGTTACTTCCTTAAGTTGCTGCAGTTCACATTATATCTGATGAAACATTTTGAAGTAAAATTTAAAATTCTGGTGGCGTGACAACACACATTTAATAATTTAAAAGACATGCAGAAAATTCCCAAGGTGGGGGATGTTTGCTCAAATGAGATCAGCAAAATCTGCATCATGCTAAACAGCCAGAAGAGCAGTGCTCACTTGGTTGAAGGTGGGAGGTAGACTGTAATTCTTTTCCAGTTTTGGAATCTTTCTGAAGTGTAGATGGAGCTCTCGGTGTAGTGCTGACAGCCGATGGTTGGAGGGACACACTCCTCTGTCACCAGGTGCCAGTCTCTCCCGTTGTTTAAGGAATACTGCAGGTGAATGCTGTGGGAATTGCTGTATGGCTTGCTGCAACCCATGCTCAGCTCAAACTGCAAGAAAGTGGAGGCTGATACATGGAAGTCCCAAGTCTCAGCATAACGAGGTTTGCCTAAGAAAAGAGAGAAGAACAACAACAAAAAGTATACCTTATGCATGTGCTTTCAACACTGTTATTCAAATTTCTTATCTATATTTTTACCTCTTTTCAGCCTTCTCTTCCCTGCAGGTTACAATATACCTGAATTTGTCTATACCTCCATTCTTGTAAACACTTGACCCATAAATAATTTATAAAATAGACTCATACAAATGTAGCAATGTTTGGTGATACATACCAATGTTTTCACTGAATGTCAGAGCTGTATCCATAGACAGGCAGTCAATGTCTACTTGACCTCCTTGTATTCTGTACCAGCTTGCTTGTAAATCCACAGTTCCATCAAATTTATCCTGGAAGCCAGTCTGAGAGCTGTCATTCATCCCTATAAGGACATCGTCCAAAGCCCACTGAGCTGAATGCTTCCCTGTAAAAAGCAGAACGGGCAGGTTAGTGGAGTCCCTGTAAGTTATTTTTTATGTCCATATCCTGTGTTCACCCAGCGAGTAGTGCTCAGTCTATGTGAGCACTGTTGAACAAGACTGAAACATTGCTCAAGGACGAACCTGGACTCTAGAGTATGTTTCTGTTTCAGATAAACACAGGTATTTCCCTGTCCGTTTCTCAAGCTTCAGTGCCTTTGTCATCATACACTCTCCCTGTGTTTGAATGAGGCACTCCCTGAGGCTCTAGATTTGGGATTTTCACTTTACAGGTCACAACCTTCCTACAATTCCTCAGAGCTAAATCAGAAAGTTCTCTGTCTAGTTCCCAAAGTACCTTCTGTATGGAAGAGGATAGTGCACAGAGGAAGAAAATGCTGAAGGCTCTTGGTACAGATGATATCCATAGAAGCACTCTTCACCACCTGCTTCCTGGAAACCTCTCTTCTCTTGCCCTCCAACCTACAGGCATCTCAGTTCACCATCATCTCCAGCCCATTCCTCCAGCCCTTCATTTCAATTCACCTTTCTACTGGCATGCTGAAAATGCCACCTTACTGTACAACCACTGCCCTCACAGAAGGAGGAAAGTCTTGACAATAAATTGTGACCTTGCAGCAATGTGCCAGGACTTTTGTCTGGCCACGGTGAGGAATGTGGGTCATGGCTGATAGGGCCACCCTGCACTGAGTTATGGCAGACAGAGGACAGCCTACGAAGGAGCAAGTATCTGTAATGAGGAGTGGTTGTCACCTATGGGTGCTGGTATGGAAGGTGGTATGTCAACTCTCCCTCTTGCTGGGAGGCACGGGATTGCCATTGGGTGATCTATCAGCAGGGACAGATGTCAGCCAGGTGCCCCCAGAGCAAGCGGCCATGGGCAGGACACAGGTAGGGAGCAAGAGGTCTGACATCGCACCACTTGCCAGTGCAAAATGATGGTCTGTGGTGCACCACTTGCTGCTCAGCATTTTTCCCAAATGAACCAGCTTCTTAACTAAATCACAACCCCCTTGCCTTGTCTACTCTCTTGCCTACTGAGGCAAATTAACTCCAGCACATACACTGTAAGAAAACGTATGAATAAAAACCAGCCATCAACATGGTAAGTGATGTCCAAGAAACTGCATAACATAAATACCTGAATGTAAGCTTCGTGCTTTTCTCCCCAGGGAATTGCTGTTAAAATGTACTGTGCTATATTTCTGAATATCACCCTGTATTTCCTGCAGGGATCCAGGAGCTGCTGCCTTGCACAAAGGCGAGACACTTAATTATGACACTTTTAATAGTGGTAACGTGCCTCCACGCAAGATGGAAGCTCTCACAGAAGCTGTAAGTATCGGCCAGCACCAGGATTTTACTTTCAGCTGAGGATGTGGGAAGTGGTTGAGTGGGCTTTGGACGTGCAGCAGAGGCAGGGGAGCAGTGTGCTGGAACACCAGAAATGGCAGGGTAAGTGTTCTGGTTTGGAGTGTAAAAGAGTGAGATGGGAGACACCAGGTAGTCAGAATCAAGGCCAAGTCATGCCTCCTCTTCCAAAACAGAGAGAAAATGAGATAGAATGTGTAAGCCATTTTGCATTCCAGGTTGCTCTATACTCAGGTAAATCCTCAAATCTTATTTAGGCTTTTCTGTGTAATACTCTTTTCCCTCCTGCCGTTTTCTCTCAGCATCTTTTGTTTAAACTTAGCTCCTAAACAATTTTACTCTTAAGTCCACTATTCCGCTTAGTGCTATAAAAGAAAATCACATCTGCAGTGTGACGGAGGAATGTGCTCTTACAGCACCCAGCTGTTCACCATACTGTATTTTCGGTAAGCTGCGGCTTCTGTAGAACATGTCCATACTGAAAAGCATTGACATGTGGGTTGTGTAAAGCTGCTTAAGGAATTTTTAGGATGGGATTGCTTACCATGTTGTGGCTGCCACCATCGGAAAGCGGTGGCAGGGGTTTTGGCGTCTCGAGGTAAGTCTATCGAAACAACCTGGGGTTCCAGGTACGACATGAAGTCCAGCTCTCGCAGCAAATGCCAAGTAATCCCGTTGTCGTTTGTGTATTGAACAACAAGCCCTATATGTAAATTAGGAAAGGCAATTAGTCTGACTGTACAGAGCAAATGAGGGTAACTCTTCAGCCTGTACTCAGCAGCTGCCAACACCCATCCTGTGCATGTGATTCTTGGCAACCTCTTCACCCTTTTGGCACCTCCTAGTCCAGGAGCATTTTGTGGACACAGTCCTACTGCAAAGGTGATGTGGACTCAGCAGCTGCCACCCATTATCCTCACCAAACTCAAAGGATCAAATATTTTACAACCTCAGTGAAACTAATGGTAGTACCACAGAAACAATAGGAATAATATGTCTTCATATTGTCAGTATTTATTTCATGTTGGGTATCTTTACAATTTCCGTGAGACACTAAGTTGTAATTCTGATAGCTGGGCTCCCAGTATGGGTAGTTCACAGTGCTCATGCTACCTATGCAAGCTCACAGCATCCTTAGAAGTTACTTATCATAATATTTAGGTAATTTAAGATAGTCTTCATATCTAACACAAAGTATGGCAAACACTAGGACATAGCAGTTTTATGAAGTCACTTATAAGCTCATCAAAGGGGATAATACAAGAAAGAAGCTTTTATGTATATTTCTTCTCTTAAAACTCTTTTTTACTGGAGTATGTTCAAAGGTAATGGATTTTCTTATGTCTTACACTGCTGCAAATGAGAGGAGACTCAAACCCTCAGCACAATCTCTGCTGAAAGATGACAGTTGTGAGCCGGCATCAATGTAAACGCCGTATGTCAGGAAAGCGTCCACTGATGTTAAATGATTTATATTGAGAGGCAAATGAAGTCTTCTCCTCTACCAGATGTCAGTGGTCTGTCTTCATGGATCCAGACCACTTTACATGGGGAATCTGCCCCCAAAACTCTTCTGATGCTTCCCAACCACAAATACCAGTCCCCTGCCCCGTAACTCTGAGCATGTGGGTAAAAGAAGAGAGGAGACAGTTGGGAGGGATGAATTTCTTTAGACTAAATGTATTTTCAGCTGCAGCTTTATAATTCTGCATTTCGGGT